GATCCTGACCAGTTACTTGAGTTTTAAACTCTTTGTTAAGGTAAGAGTCTGCTTCCAATGTGGAGAATGTACTATCCCAAGCTTTGGGGGTTTGTACAGCTGTTTTCAGAGATACTTCTAGGGACTTGAAAATTTTTAATTCTTCCAAGGTGCTATGATAAAGGGCAAGGTGTTTTCTCTCTACTGCCACAACAAGCTTCACCACACCAGCATTCCTCCTCGCCCCAGGACAGCCCCTCAGAACTGTGACCCAGATCCAAGCACAGGCAAAGCAAGAGATTCCTGCCTCAGCACTGGCAAATAGAACCCTGCAATCCCCCTCTGATCAGCCACTTGATTCCCCTTCAGTCTGTGGGCTGGAAGCTCAGGAGGCAGCTGCTGCCCTCGGGTTGGCTGAGACCTAGCTCCTTCTCTCACCTCAGTCACAGACTTTTCCCACTGACCTTCTAAGTTGTCTTTGGCATTCATGGGTTGAGAAATCTGGAAACCCCCACAGCTGCCTGTGATTCAGTCCTCTGAGGCCTGCTCCAGGGTCTCTGCAGCCTGCGCACCCACACCAGACTGCACTCCTTTTCCTGCCTGGGGCGATATACCTTTCTGATCAACCATCCAGGCTGTCTTTGGCTGGAAATTTGTTTCACTCTGTATTTTTGTGGGTTCTGCTGCTTTAGAATTTGTTTAGAGCCATTTTTTATAGGTATTTGGAGGAATTTGGGGACAGAGGTCAAGCAAGTCACTGCTTTCCATCTGCCATCTTGGCTCCGCCCCTAGCAGCTTCTACATTAAGGGACTGGAGAGCTTGGAATATGATATTGTGGAGGTCAAAAGAGCTAGGATTAAAACCAAAAATCACCTACCCAGCAAAACTGAGTATAATCCTTCAGGGAGAAAAAATTGACTTTCAGTGAAATGGAGGTGTTTCAAGCATTCTTGATGAAAAGACCAGAACTGAATAGAAAAATTGACTTTCAAATACAAGACTCAAAAGAAGCATAAAAATGTAAACAGGAAATAGAAATCATAAGGGACTTATTAAAGTAGAACTGTTTACATACCTACATGGAAAGATGATATTTGTAACTCATGAGACCTTTCTCAGTATTAGGGTAGTTGGAGGATACACACACCACACAAACACACACACACACACACACACACATACATATATATATACATATCCATATACACATATATATAGACATAGGGCACAGGGTGAGTTGAATATGAAGGGATGGTATCTAAAAAATGAAATTAAGGAGTGAGAGAGGATTGTACTGGTGATGATGGGAGGGCAGATTGGGGGAGGAGATAATCAGAAGCAAACACTTTTGAGGAGGGCAGGGTCAAAGGAGAGAATGGAATAAATGGGGGTCAGGATAGGACAGAGGGAAATATAGTTAGTCTTTCACAACATTATTATGGGAGTGTTTTGCATGACTACACATGTATAACCTATATTATATTGCTTGCCTTCTCAATGAGGGTGGGGAGGTAGGAGGGGAGAGAATTTGGAACTCAAAGTTTTAAAAATGAATGTTAAAAATTGTTTTTACATGCAACTGGGAAATAAGATATAAAGGCAATGGGATATAGAAATCTATCCTGCCCTACAGGAAAATAGAAGGGGAAGGGGATAAGAGAAGGCAGGATGGTGATAGAAGGGAGGGCAGATTGAGGGAAGGGATATTCAGAATGTATGCCGTCTTGGGGTGGGGGGAGAGGAAAGATGGGGAGAGAAATTGGAGCTCAAAATTTTGTGGAAGTGAATGTTGAAAACTAAAAATAAATAAATTAATTAAAAAAAGAAGGAACAACTTTAACCAAATTGTAGAATATAAAAGAAACCTACACAAATCATCAGCATTTCTACATACTACCAAAAAGAGAGAGAGAAATTCCATTTAAAATAGCTATCAAATGTATAAAATATTTGGGAGTCTACCTACCAAGACACCCAGGAACTATATGATTACAACTACAAAACTGTCTTTATACAAAGACAAATTTAAATAATTGGAGACCTATTAATTGCTTATAAGTAGGTCAAACCAATATAATAAAAATAGTAATAATACTACCTAAATTAATTTGCTTATTAACTTCCATACCAATCAAATTACCAAATGATTACTTTATAGAGCTAGAAAAATAGCAAAATTTATCTGGAGAAACAAAAGTTTAAGAATCTCAAGGAAAATGATGAAAAAAGTGGGAAATGGGGAGGGGGTCTAGCAGTAACAGATCTTAAACTATATTACAAATCAAAATCGTAATGATTTGGTGTTGTTTTAAAAATAGGTAGATCCCTGGCATAGATTAGGTAAACAACATACCAAATCAAAATAATACAGTAGCCTAGTGTTTGATGAAGTCAAAGACTTCAGCTATTGGAGTAAGAACTCAGTATTTAACAAAAACTGCTTGGAAACCTAGAAAACAGTTTTAGAATCTAGATATAGAGCAACATCTCACATTGTATACCAAGAGTAGTTCTAAATGACTATATAATAGACATGAAAGGTGACTTCATAAACATTAGAAGAGCAAAGAAGCAGATTCAAATTTATCAGAATAAGAGACATTTCACAATTAATAAATTGTCATTGGTTATGACCAGGCAGTTTTCTAATAAAGAAATCAAAGCTGTCCATAACCGTACGGAAAATACTCCAAATCACTAATAATTAGAGAAAAGAAAATTAAATCAAGTCTAATGTTTTACCTCATATACTCCCAAGATTGGCAAAGTTGATTAAAAAAGAAAAAGGATAAGGAAAAATGTTGGAGGGGATGTAGGAAAACAGATACTTTAATGTACTGTTGGTGGCACTGTAAATTGGTCTTGCCATTCTAGAAAGCAGTTTGGAATGTTGCCCCTAAAGTTACTAACTTTGCCTACCCTATGACCCAGTAATGCCACTATCTACTAGGTCTTTATCCCTAAGAGATCAAAGAAAGAATAAAAGGACCCTAAGTACAAAAATATTTATAATAGCATTTTTGTGGTGGAAAAGAGCTGGAAACTAAGATGTTGTTTATCAGTTGGATAATGAATGAATAAAATGTTATATTAATGTAAAATAATACTATTGTGCTATAAGAATGATGCAGCAAACAGTTTCAGAGAAACTTGAGAAGGCTTGTATAAATTTTACAGAGTGAAGTAAACTGAACAAAGAGAACAATTTATACAATAACGGCATTGCGAATATAAACAATTTTGAAAGACTTATGAACATTGATCAACACAATAATCACCATTCCAGAGGAATCATGATGAAAGATGCTACCCATTTCCAGATAGAGAAGTGATGGATTCAGAGTGAAGATATAAGCATGTATTTTTTGGACGTGGCCAATATTGGACTTAGTTTTGTTTGACTATGCATGTTTGTTACAAGAGTTAATGTTTGTCTTTTCTTTTAATGAGGGGAGATGTGTGTGAGAGAGAGAGAAAATAGATTTTTCTTGATTTAAAAAATAAAAATACTTTTATTTTTAAAGAGTGAACCATTGGGGCAGCTAGGTGGTGCAGTGGATAGAGCACTGGCCCTGAAGTCTGGAGGACCTGAGTTCAAATGTGGCCTCAGACCAAACATTTAATACTTGCTAGCTGTGTGACCCTGGGCAAGTCACTTAACCCCAATTGCCTTAAAAAAAAAAAAAAGTGAACCATGGAAGAGAAAAAAGATTGGCCTGCAACAATGTGGGCTTAGATGAAATAATGTAAAATAAAATTTTAGTGGATCAAGTCATGCATGCCACATTCCAGCCAAACTTACCTACTTGACATTCCATAAACATAACAGCTCGATCTTATTTCCCAGCCCTTGGTACTGACACAGGCTGCCCCCCATAATGGGAATACTCTCTTCACTGCTACTATTTGGAATCCCTAGTTCCCTTCAAGGTCCAACTTAAGTGTCCTTTCTAGGCTTACTCAATTAATAGTGTTCCCCCTGCCCCTCATAATTACTTCATATTTACTTATTAGTCCATGTGCTGTCGCTCCCTTGCACAATGTAAATTCCTGGAGATCAGGGATTATTTTGTTTTTTTCTCTTTATAACCCTAGCGCCTCATATCTAGTAGGTCCATTGGATCATAGATTTAGAGTGGAAAGGACATCAGAGGCAATTGAATCTTCTACATCCATTTCACAGATAAAGAAACTTGAGTCCCAAACAAGTTAAGTGACTTGTCCATAGTCACAGGGCTAGTAAGCAGAATTGGAACCAAGGTCTTCATGACCCTAAATCCAGCACTTTTAATCTACTACACCATGTTGCCTTTAACAATAAATTATATAATATATGCTTTGCATTGCATTGAATTGAATCTGTAACTATTGACCCATATATCTATTTTCTCATTGTTATAAAATCTTTATGAAAATGATTTCCATGAGAATTGAGAGTATCCTTGGTGAATATATGAGAAAGGAAGAGGCAGGCAAAGCAATATAACTCTAATAGTCTGGTGTTAACTCTGTGATTTTCCCTGTGTGTTTCTGTGTTGTCTGAATTCTGTTTGAGTCTTGTGTACCAAGTCGTGCTGCAAGTTCCGCATGTTCTTTGACTTAAAGTACATCTGTAGGTCAGGTAACAATACTTGTCATAATACTGACAACTGCACTTTGGATGAAACCTCTGAGGAAAGGGGAAGTTTGTTAAAGAAGAGATCCATGCTGAAGAAGTAGTTTCAAGTGTTGTCACGGAGAAGAAAACAGAACATTAAGGATATGTTAAGAGAGAGGTCCTAATAGAGATTAAATGAAAAGGGAAACTCATAACAAGTAGTAGAAGAGTTGTATAATGCTCTGAGATAGTGATGTTTTGAATTTGGACTAGAGCATTGGTTCCCAGCCCTGGGGAGGGGGGGGTATGTTTTTCAATAGTGAAAGGATTGTCACATTTTTTAACCTCATTGAATACTTGAATATTATTACTTGAGATAACCGATTCTATTGATTACAAAGATAACATGTTAAGACTAGTCACCTTAAGTGATCGGCCTTTTATGTGCATGGAGTGCCAGCATTCTTCTTTCAAAATGTGACATAAATACTTCTTAGCTAGATTTTCCATTTCTGTTTCCTTTTTAATCTTTAATAAAAAAAAAGAAAATATTCATGTTTCATAATGGTCTAGCATGTAAAACTTAATAACTTACTAGTTATTTGTATGAATACATTTTAAAAAATGATCTATAAGTAATCATCATCTGTAAGTAAGATTTCAGTTTTTTGAAAGTTTCTATAAGCAAGAAATTCTTCATTTTATTGTTTGATTGTTTCAGTCATGTTTGACTCTTTGTGACCCTGTTCAGGGTTTTCTTGGCAAAGATACTGGGGTGGTTTGCCATTTCCTTCTCTAGCTCATTTTACAGATGAGAACAAGGCAAACAGGTTAAATGACTTGCCCAGGGGCACACATCTAGTGTTTGAGGTCAGATTTGAATTCAGGAAGATGAGTCTTCCTGACTGCAGATCTGGCACTCTGTCTATGGTATCCCCTAGCTGTGCTTTCTTAGCTAGGCTGCATCTTAGGTGACAGTATCTGTGGGCCCACACTGTAGACTTGTTAGCCCTATAGGATGTGCCTGACCTTGTGCTTCACTGGCGTTGGTTTTAAGAGACCATGCTATAAGGAGTCAATGAAATAGAGATTTAGTGGAGGTCTAATATTAATAAAAATGTTAAATAGCCATGGCTTGGACACCTTTTGAGATCTTATAGGGATACTTACTGGACATGTTATTTCAGCATTATGAGTAATTCCAGATGTGGAAACTCCCCTTCCCATTTAGTCCCAATAGTCAGTCACCTTCTTAGCAATTTATCCTCTTAAAGTGTTGCCTAGAGCACCAGGAGATTAAAGGACTTGCCTAAATTCATAAAGTCAATGTGTATAAGAGGTGTAACTTGAATTCAGGATTCTTATCTTCTATGTCATGCTGCTTATACTTTACATTTTTTGTATTCAGAAGAGTACGTCTTTTCCACAAGTGTTGTATTTTAGTGTTCAGTGAGACAACCCTCTGTTAGAGGTTCTTAAAAGCTCAACTGTATGAAAAGTTTGCCTATATGCAAAACTCTCCAATGGGTCTGATGCAAGGAATTCACACTGGTGATATGTCAGTCCTCCAACACAATAGTATCTATGCACATAATTTGTGACAACAGAGTACATTTGTCAGCTGAGTCCTTCATGTTACCTCTGAGTTCTTCCTAAGTTTAAAAGTTGTTGACTCTTTGCATTTTGTGTGCTGCTTTATAGTTTGCAAAGTGCTTTTCTCACAAAAACCAAGTGATATAAGTAACATATAACTGATGCTTTAAAATAACTTTGATTTAGATACTTTAAAGAATAAATAATAAAATGCCCTCAAATGATTATGATTTGTGGAAATCTAGATCTGTATGGGAGGGTTTAGCTTAACTGGCAATTCCATTTTATAGTATTTGTGTTGCTTAATCATTTTTCAGTTGTGTCCAACTCTTTGTGACTGCATTTGGGGTTTTCTTGGCAGAGATACTGGAGTGGTTTGCCATTTCTTTCTCCAGCTCATTTTACAGATGAGGAAATTGAAGCAGACAGGGTTAAATAACTTGCACAGGGTCACACAGCTATTAAGTGTCTCAGAGCAGATTTGAACTCAGGAAGATGAGTCTTCCTGACTCTAGGCCCAGCCCTTTATCCACTGTGCCACCTTTTACCTCCTTTTTACTGCCTCCTTTTGCCATATACCACATGCAGTGCTTTGACTAAATCCAAACTTCACAGAACAAACCCCCTTAATAAAAGAATTTGTTCTGTAAAACTTGGACTCAGTCAAAAAACTGCACTCAAGGACCTAGAAGGTCATATGTGGCCTCAAGGTCACAGGTTCCCACTCTTGATTTAGATCCTATCTTCAAGGCATTTATAGTCTGGTGGAGGGATAAGATACAAGCATAGATAACTGTAATATAAAACATTGCATGAGAAGTATATTAGAAAGTTGCAAAGCATATAACAATATTGTTACCAATAATCCCACCATTTATATAACACTTTAAGGTTTATAAAATGCTCACTTTTCCACAACTCTATAAAATAGGTATAGCAAGTATTATTATTCCCATTTTACAGATGAGGAAACTTATGTTCAGATAGAATAAATAACTTGCCCATGGCCACAAAACTATTGTCAGAACCAGCATTTGAATTTTGTTCTCTTGACCCCAAGTCCAGCACACTTGACACTATACTACATTGCCATTACTCAACTAGAGGAAAGATTCATGAAAGAGGAGGCATTTGAGTTAGTGTTTAAAGGAAGAGTAAAAATTCAGGGGGTGAAGAGAGCAAGAGAAGGTATCTGAGGCGTAAAAACCGAGGCACAGAGGAAGGCAAGCCTAGAGCTATTCAGGGGGCAAAAACTAGTTAGGTTTGGCTAGAGCGTAGAGTATACGTATAGGTATAATATAAGATCAGAGAAGCAGAGTAGTGACAGACCCTGAAAGGCCTTAAGCCAAGTAAAGAAGCTCTAACTGTAGTCAGCGGGCAATGAGAAATCATTGAAGTGTTGTGGTTTTTTTTTTTTTTTTAAAGTACGTGAGTGATGTTACCATGTTGATAATTAAGGAATATTATTCTGGCAGAAGTATGAAGGATGAACTGGAAGAGCCAGGGCATAGAGAAAGACAGACTGATTAAGAGCCTAAATATAGCTAGCAGCATGTCTTTATTTTTACTACATACACTTAAAGTTCTAATGACAAGTAGAGATCTTCAAATATATAGAGAATAAGAAAAAGAAAGGAATACACAAGATGAAACAGAAAGCGACTGCAAAGATTGTACATATCTGTAAATTATTATTTACTGATTATTAATTCTGACCCAAGAGATGTATATTGATTTTAACATAGTATTACCCACATTATCTTTGTTTTGTGATACTTTTTGGCTTTATTTTGTCTGTAACTTACAACTGCTGCTGTTATTGTCTTTAGATACATATAGTAGTTATAGTCAATGTGTAAATTGTTCTTTTTGGTTCTGCTTTCTTGGTTCTGAATCATTTAACACAAATCTTCCTATATTTCCTTGAATTCATCATACCATCTCCATAATTTACTATGGCAAAATAATAGTCTATTACATTCCTATACCATAATGCATTTAGCTATTACTACAGTTATTTGATATTTATTTTGGTTCCAGGTTTTTGCTACTATAAATAGTGGTACTCAGAATATTTTTGTAAAATAGGTCTTTTTTTCTCTATTAATGTTCTCCTTTAGCTCCCAGTTCCTAACTGGGTCAAAAATATGCACCTTTTTATATCTTTTGTTGTGATTCTATATTATTTTCCAAAAAAAGGCTGGGACCAATCCACATCTCTGCCAATAATACGATACCATGTTTATTTATTTTTTTACCACAGTCAACCAACAGTGAATTTTGTCAACCCTTATTGTCTTAGCCAAATTGATGGGTATTAGGTGAAGTTTCAGGTGTCTTAATTTACATTTCTTATATCCACACAGTTGCCAAGGCTTATTAATTCTACATCGACAATATCTTCTATTTTATCCATAGAGCCACCACCCTACTTCAGGCACTCATCCCTTCTTACCTGGACTAGGTTATTGGTTATAGTAACCTCCTAATTGTTCTCCTCCCTGTGTGCAGTTTTTTTTCTTATCTAGTCCACCCTAAGTGGCATTCCCAAAGTACGAGTCAGTCAATAAGCATTATTAAGCACTTATTCTGCCTAAGCACTGTCTGATTATGTCATTTACTTTTATAAAAAAAAAAAACTACGGTGTCTACTTCTTATTTAGCCTTTCATAGTCCTAGACTATTTTCCCAAGTTTATTGTAAATAATTCTTTTTTTTAATACATTTTATGTTCCAGCCAAAATGGAACATTATTTGTTTCTTCAAGATGGATTGCTGTTTGTTGTGCAAAAGCTATTTGTTTTCATGTAACCCCAGTACCAAATCTGATTGGTATGGGACTCTGCTTTACGAGTGGAGATTAATGCCCCATGTCTGCATTGGGAACAGGATAGAAGGTTACAGACTTGTAGTTTTCTTTGGATCTTCTTCAAACTCGAGAGTCTCTTTGGACTCTGCAGCCCCTTGGACACTTCCAGTTTCCAGTTTTGAAAGAGAAGATGAAAGAAGCCAGCCCTACTTTTGTCGGCTAAAGGAAAAGATTCTGGGAAGAAGTTGACACGAGACGAGCTGTCAGTCTCCATTATGTCCCTGTCCCTAGCTTATTACACTAGAGACTTTAGGGAACGTATCTTTGGGTGGGAGCTGGGACTCTCTCTCTTGGTTGAGGTGAGTTACCTTGATCCCCACTCTGTATTGTCTGGTGTATATTCTTATATGTATACTTTCTCTGACATCTGTTTTGTTACTGACTTAGATAAATAAGTTCTTGGCTAATTGCTATATGTATGTTCATTGAGGAAATGGCATCCAGTGGGGAGGAACTCAAGCCTTATATATAAAGTTTGTGGTCCCACTTCCCCCCAATGATGAATAGTGATCAGAAGTTAGATTGAACCTGAAAATCACATCTCCTAGATAAATAATACCTAAGGGAGAAAACAGACAGAATTCTAGCCCAGTACCACTCTGCCCTTGAGTGGCTCCAAACTGTCTGACCCCAAATTCCTACTTCCCTCCTGTCAGGAATTAAAGTCTCTCTTTGAGAAGATGGGGGAGGAGGTGGGAAGAAGAGGCTAGAAATATCTAGTCTTATGTTTTTATAAATGAAATGAGAGTAATTGAGGAAAACTGGAAAAGAAATGAGAGGTATGTAAGAAAGAATATCTTACATTCTCAGTGTTTCTGTGTGGGTCTGGGACCTGCTCCTGCCCTGATGCACACAGCCTCTCCCTGGACACCAGAGAGCTAGGCATAGGGCATGCTCTCATCGTGACACATTCTCCAGTGTCTACAGACCTCCCTATCTTTCTCCCTCTGCCAGCCTAGGCCAGACAAAGGACTTGTTGTGACTTTTTATGGATTTCCCTGTCAGGATTCGGTCTGGTACATTTTCTAAATCTCTTTGGAAGAGGTTATGGAGGGGAACTCTGCCTCTGGTTCCTACTACTTTGCCATCGTGGAACCACATTTCTTTGCCACACTCTTATATTAATCTTCTACTGTGGTCTTTTGGCTCCAAATACAACGCACTTTCCATTGTACAACATAGGCCCATGGAAATAGTGTAAAATTGCAGTGGAATTTACCAAGTGGAACCATTTCTAAAGGCACAGTTGATAGAGAATTGAACTTGGAGTCAGGAAGCCCTGAATTTGGATCCTGCTTCAGACAATTATTAACTGTTTGACTTTGGGCTCATTGCTTGGCCTTTCTCAGTCTCAGTTTTCTTATCTGTAAAAGAGGCATAATAATAGCACTTACCTCACAGGGTTCTTGTAAGAATCAAATGAGATGGCATATACATAGCACTTTGCAAACCTTAAAGCACTATATAAATACTAGTTATTATCATTCTCATCATAAATTTAAAAATTCAGTTACCAAAAAAAAAATTGTTACCTCCCCTTGATTCCATTTTCTCTACATATTTTTAAAATATGGTTCATGATTTCTCTGTGCCTCCCCATAGGTCTCTTCAGAGAATTCCATTTCCCCCTCCTCATCAGAATTATTTCCCTTTTTGATATCAGAATTTCATTCTTCAAAGTTTCCCATTCCTTTGAGGCTGATGTACCCTATAGTATTTTAGTCTATGGGGATCCCATCTGTTGTTTCTCTAAACCATTTGAAATTTGCTCTCCAAAAATCTAGAATATATGTCAGACAATGTACAACTTCTCTCTTCTCTATTACACATTCTAAGATCAAATAATCACTTCACCCCAAAGTTTCCACCATTTTATTCCCAGAAACCAGTTCCTCTCTGTTAATGACAATCAGATCTAGAAAATGATTTTTCCCCTATATGTTTCTCTACCTTTTGAAGGTTGAAATGATCATGAAATCCTGCCCTGTTTTGCCACCATCTGGTGCTAATACTTCTTTCAAGACAAAGACAATCTATTATTTTCTTTTGTAGCTCTCCTTGGACTTTGCACAGTATTGTACCCATTAGCAAAAGTCGGCTAAATGAATGAAGCAATTTATTATTTTTACATCCCAGATATACATAAGCTTTTTCTAAGTATATTGGAGAAGTTCTTATTTTGCCCCTCCTTTGTTTTTTATGTCAATGAATATCAACAATGCTACTTCAAGTAAATTCTCACATACCTTTTCCACTTCTTCTTCACCTTCATCGTGAAGTCTTTCCATTTCTTCAACATCCAGACTGAATTCCTGTTGCTCTAATTGTGCAATCTCAGATGCCAACTCATTTTCATTCATCATAGCCTGAATCTGAATTAAATGATAGAAAATAATGGTGAACAAGTAAATAAGATCAGCTTTAAAGGGTGCCCCCCTAGTTTCATTGGGGAAAAGTCAATACCAGTACCATTTCTTATTGCCAGGATCTAACCATTAAGATTAATTGAATTCTAACTTCTTAAGGTTATCACTGTTTGTTCATTGCAATACATCTACTTATGAATAGACATTGTTTAGTTTTGTTGCCATATAATTTTTTAATTTTGTTAGATTTCCATGTGTGGTGTGTTGATTTTTTAAAAAGAAAATATGTTTTTTTCCAGCTTCTCTCTTTAAGAACCTACTCCAACAGAGGAACATTGAAGAGAGGACCATATAATTTAATATATTTGTTCCAGAGAATTCCTCTAAACACTTTACTAAAAATAGTCTAACCTTTTCATTTCCCTATATATTTTGCTTTTTTTCTTCTTTATCATTGACATTGATGGAGTACTCAGTGTGTTAGGCCCTGGGCTGAGTGTGTGGTAACTCACTTCCAAGAATACAGCAGAAAACGGAGCTTGCAAACATAGAAGGGAGAATACCTGAGTAGTACACATGCCTGCCACATCATACCTATGTACAACTAAGCAGGAAATATCATTTGAGACTTTAGGCATATTTTATTAGAGTGTGAATCATCATAACACTTACAGTTTTAGTCAAAGTTTTGATTTCTTCTTTTAGTTCCTTCTTTTTTTTACTAAACTCTTTGATTTCTTTTTTGGTGGCCTGAAACATCAATCAATCAATAAACAACATTTATTAAGCACCCATTTACTACTATCAGCTACTCTGCTGGGGGCCAGGGATACAAAGAATTAAATAATCCATACTCAAAATGAGTTTATGTCCTAACAGGGAGATACAACATATATGTGGTTGTACAGAATACATATAAATAGAATTCATACAACTAAATACAAAGCAGAGCGGGAGGATACTAGTAATTAGGGTAAAACGAATTAGGAAAAGTTTCATGTAGAAAGTGGTGCTTACAGGGCAGCTAGGTGGCGCAGTGGATAGAGCACTGGCTCTGGAGTCAGGAGGACCTGAGTTCAAATCCGGTCTCAGACCAGACACTTGACACGTACTAGCTGTGTGACCCTGGGCAAGTCACTTAACCCCAGTTGCCTCGCAAAAAAAAGAAAAAGTGGTGCGTGATCTATATCTTGAAAAGAAAAGAGAGATTCTTAGAGTTGAAGGTGAATGCATTCCAGGCATGGGGGACAGCCAGTGTAGAGAGACAGAAACATGAGATGGAGGGCTGTGGCAGGAGAACAATGAGAAGGTCAATTGAACTAGACTGCAAGGTAGGGAATGGGGAATAATAAGACTGGGAATATAGGTTGGGGCCAGGGTGTGAAGGCCTTTAAAAGCTAAACAGAAGAGTTTCTATGTTTTATCTTAGAGTCAATAAGAAACCACTAGAATTTATTGAGTGGGGAAGTGGCATAGTCAGATCAGCACTTAAGATATTCTTTGGTATCTGTTTGGAGGATGGACTAGAGTGGAATGGACTAGAGTGAGACAAGGAGACCAATTAAGAAGCCATTGCCAAAAAAAAAAAAAAAGAATTCAAGATCACAGAAGTATGGGTGATGGTGAAATTCAAGATATGATCCCACCATGAGTGACTGAGGTATGTCAGGGCAGTTGAGAAGGTGGATAACTTGGAAGGAGCTATTAACATGAATACTGATATTTTTCAAGTTTCACTGCAGGAGTAGTAGTGATCAAGAGGAAGACTATTAAATATTAAAGACCCAGTGCTGCTAGTGAACATAGGAAGCACCATTTTGAAACTTTGCCTAGGATAAACAAATTATTTGTCTTGATTTTTTTTTTTGGCATTAACTATAAAATGATTAATACATCTTCTATAATATATTTGATATGTGTATATACTCATATAATACCTCTTCATTTTTCCTTTGTAACCAACTAGTTTCATCTTCATAGTTAGCTTGGGAAAATGGCTTCTTTATGTAATATAACTGAGAAGAAAAGATAAACATCTGTATTAAACTGAATTCTCTAGTCCATCAAACTCTCTACCCCTTTATTTAAGAATTACCCTAAAACCCTACTCTGTAAACTTTATCTGATTATTTTAGAGGCAGAAAATAATTTTATTTCCTCTGACAATGAAATTACTTTGAGTAGATTTTCAATAACTAGATCAAATACACTTAATATTTTGTTCACACCTAATATCATATTTAACATGAAGTGTATTAATTTATTTGTACATCATTTATATATATCATGAATGTTGGTCTTATAGCTTCATAAAGGGCATCTTGATTTTTTTATACAAGTCTCATCATAGGATCATAGAACTACAGATGGAAAGGCCTTCAAACCCATCTGGTTCAACCTCCTCATTTCAAAGACGAAGAAACTGAAGCCCAGAGAGAGATTAAATAACCTTTCCAAGGTCATACTGGTAGTACAAGTAAGGAGCATAATGCTACATGTAATGAGTAATCTAATATATGCTTTTAATGATGGTCATCTCCACAGTAGTGTTCTGTCCTATAGTCTACAGATTTAAGGGATGGTAGATAAAGGGGTTGAAAGAATAGAAAATGATCCTTTAAGTTTGTATAAAAAAATTTGACTCTTTCCACATGAAACTACAATTAAAGCTATGTTTCTGAATACTCTATCACTTAAGTTAGGAAGCAAGAAGAAAGACTTTTTATATAATAATTAGAAGCAAACAACCATGTTCTCAGCTCAATTCCAGTGGGCTTCTGACCATGTTCTGCCAAAGTAACATATGTGGTCTACATGAAGACATATTTTAAATCCCATACTCACACAATTTTTCATTATCTTAAGATTATTTCCAATAAGTATGAATTTAAAGTCCATTTCCTCTTTACTATAATTTCTGTTTGGATTTAGTACTTTCTATAGGTGTAAGAAGGGTTAAAAATATCATCTCAAGAAGTACAAGGGGAGAAGGATCTTGTATCCTTATTAGATCATTAAATCATGAATAAAAGGAAAATATAGTTAATAAAAGGAACTCAAAATCACAGTTACTTAAATAACAATACTAAAATGGATTACTATAGGACTTTTTATTTAAAAAAAAACTACATAGAAACTCAACTGGATCTTCATAGAGTGAATCCAAAAAGAACTGGATATCTGTCATGTAGTATAAAGATACATTTTGCTCTAAAATGTTCCTGTTCAAATATGGTACAAAGGCCTGAAAATATTCAGTAGCATGTTGAATTAGATGTCCTCTCATACTCCTGTGGATTGAAACAGAATGAACAACACAAATGTATTATATAATGATGTCAAAAGTAGAGTTTACCTTTTATACATTTTCTCTTAAACAAAATTTCCTAATGAATTAAAAATATGTAAATAATTTTCCACAACTTCCAGTTTTTATGTAAATTACAAAATATTATTTACAATTTAATAAAAATTATATTGACTTTAGCAAAATAACAAAAATATTCTATTTGCTTCTATATCCTTTCTGTTTTCTTTTACTTCAATGAAAGTTAAATATTATACAAATGATATCTTCTCAGCTTTACTTACTTCCATTTCAGGCAAACAAGGGCACCATCTTCTTTACCATTCACTAGTATAGATTGGCCATCTAATGAAAATTTGATTGACTGAATTCCTTTTCCCGGGTAAGAATGGCACCGTGCCCGGGCAAATGGTTCCTGAATAGTTATGAAACAATATAAAGAAAGCTTAAGGTTTGCTGCTTTATTGTATGTTTTATTAAGTCAAATTATACATGCTTTTATTTTGAGACAAATCAGTTATTATTAACATAATAAATGAGCATTAACATTTTAATAAGTAAATATTATTATGAACAAACTAAGTCAAATGTCGGTTCTAGAAAACCTATAGTCCAATGCATATGTAGAAAAAGAGGCATGAAGAAGTTTAAGTGATTGGTCCAGAATTATACTATGTCAGTGAACAAATGAGGACTTCAACTCAGGACCCCTTGTTTCCCAATTTAGTGTTCTATTGCTATTAGAAAAGCAAGTTAACATAGTGGAAATAACAGTGGTCTTGGAATCATAAGAATCAGGTTTATGTCTTGCTTCTGACTAATTCATTTTTCTTGGCTCTTTTCTCTTCCCTCTATATACTGTCTCCCTCAATGATCCCATCTACCCTTTGGCTTCAGTTACAACCACTATACAGAAAAAGCCTATATCTCCATCCCTATCCACTCCCCAGAGCACCAGTTCTGAATTTCTGACTACTTGACAGGTACCACACCAAGACTTCAAACTCAGCATATCCAAAACTGAACCTGTCTCCCCTCAAGTCTTTTGCTTCTTCATGTAGCTTCTCCATTTATGTCAAAGACATCACCATCCTCCAAACCATCTGAGCTTGTAACCTTGAAGACATCTTTGACTCTTCTCTCTCTCCACTTAATCATCCAATCCATTCTGCTCTGAAATATTTCTCATAGATACCTTTCCACTTCTACTGCAATTGCCGTAGTGCAAGCCCTCATCTCCTTTTGACTAAAAGTATTGCAATACACTCCTAACTGACATTAATGTCATTCTGAGTCTTCCATACCACTGCTCTAGTAATTGACCTAAGGCACCAATAGAATCATATCACTTCTGTACTTGAAACGTCTTAGTGGATCTTCATTGTTTGCAGAATAAAGTATAAACCCGTGATTCTAACACTGAAAACCTGCCACAATCCATCCTTTCTCTTACTATTCCCCCATGTATTCTGTGTTCAAGACAAACTGTCTCTCGATCTTACTCTGCTTTCTCTTATTTCCATATTAAAAGAAACAGAAAATATCAAGAAAATTTATTTTCAGAAAGACTCAATATATTGTTTTGGAATATAAGGCATCAATAAACCTGAAAATACACAACACAATACACGTCAAAGATTAGGAGGTTATAAAAGTCGATTTTTTTTCTTTTCCAAACTTTTTAAGGGTATCTTCTTAGTGTAAATCCATTCCTACTTCTCACTGTGACATTGAAGGCTTCATATTGATATCAATATTTACCAAACTATTACTATCACGGATGCTCAGTATTCCATCTTTAGCTGTTGATGCCAGCCACTGGCCATGATATGACAGATAGAGCATTCCAGTTCCATAATGTTTACTTGGCATTTTGTTCTCTATTTTGAGAACTATGTCTTCACTATCCTATAAACCAAGAAGAAAATATGAAACTGTATTCAAGGTCATGAAAATAATTCTTATTGCTAATAAGAACAAACAACATTACTGTGTTGGCAACTTGATCATTGATATCAATGAAAAATGAATACATATTATGATTGAAAATAAGCAGGTACATATGGTTGTGTTGCCTAATGGGTTTTGCCCCCTTTTCCAACTTTTTTCATCTTGATTCTTAATATTTGATTCTTCCTATTGAGGGGAATTTTCCTGACAAAAACAGTTTTTATTGCCTGTCTGTGGCAGATTCTGTCAGAATTTATCAGATTCGTTCCCTACTTTATCTCAAATACCAAGGACTGATAAAAGACAGAAAATGAAGACTAATTCAAATAGCTCTTTATGAATTTAAACTTCTGCTGATAGAATCCCTATGAAATCCAAATTGAACAGAAAACAGTTCATTTGGTGAGTTCTTACAAATAGGGATGCAACCCCTTTTGCAGTCTCTATTAATGTAAGTCAAGTTATAATATAAAATCAAATTTTGATGAAAATGAGATTTCAGCTTTAGTATCTAAAGTAGGGGTTAACAAAGTTTCAGAAGGCTCCCCAGTATAGGGGAGAGGAGCCTGTTCTTCTGGATGTGGGCACCTGGCTGAAAAAAAGAAAAATCTCCCTAAACATTTCAGTTTTATTTAAATTTATTTAAATATTTATTTATTTAAATCCATTTGTGTTAATAAGTGTCTCTTTTAAGTTGTACATGTTTATCTCCAACTGTAAATTACAAAGGTACATATATTTTCTTCAATGTGCCACTTTGAGCCACCTCTTCTCCTCTTCTCCCCCTTCTCAACCCTGCAAAGGTAGAACCTTATGTTAATCATATTCTCTCTTGAAGTCCCTTCTTAGGAAAGTATAAGGTGGTTTGGAGTTTTCTGTTTGTTTGGGTTTTTTTTTTTTTTTTTTTGAGGAGAGGGGTGGAGAGAAAGAAACAGGATTGGAGGCATTTCTGAGGATGATAGGACTAGATTGGTCCCATCAGTTAAAAGCTTTGGTCAGCTGGAGAAGAATTGGGAGAGTAGGAATGGGAAGAAATGCGGGAGATAAATGAAATGAAGGTGAAAGGACAGTAAAGACAAACTTCACTTAGTTTGCAATTTTGTTTATGTTCCTAATACAATTTGCCACTAAAAGTTATCCACTATGATCCTCTCTGTCTCTTAACTTTTTGCCATCCCAAACCCTGTTGCCTTTGCACTAACTGCCCACTCCTTCACCTGAAATATACTCCCTCAGTCTCTCCATCTCTTAGTATATCTGCCTCAAGCTTCTAGTGAGTGCCACGCCACACCCCCTCATCCCATTGTCCCTATTTTGTCTATATGGCACCTCCTCAATAGAATGTCAACTCCTTCAAGGCAAGGACTGTTTGACTTTTGTGCTTTTATCTGTAGCACCTAGCCCAGTGCCTAGCACAGTCACTTCTTAAACAATTTGTTCATTTGATAGAAGGACTAGTTATGAGATCCTAGAATCATAGCTATAGAGCCAGAGGTCCACTCCCTCATTTTACAAGTGATGAAACTGAAGCCCAGAAGATTGTGACACATAACTAGTAGGTGTCTGAGGTAGAATTTGAATCCAGATCTTAATTGCAAGTCCGGAGTTCTCATCACTACATCATGCTACCTCTCTCATGTTTGTTTAACATTGTGAAGCAATTCCTCATTTCTTTCTTTCCACTAGACACATATCTTGGAATTCATAGGAGAATCTTAAAATCCTTTCTCCTAAGTGGTTTCTTTTTTTCATTTTTTAGCTGCGTCCAGTTTTCAGCAAACCCCAGAAGGAATCAAAAGTAAGCAAATCCTCTTTTCTGTAATTTACTCAAGACATCTGGAGATTAAAAAATTATACTAAGGAATTAGGAGAGAAGTGAAATAAAATAATAAAAAGGAACAAGTTGCGATTCTGCCTGCCAATCTCCTTTTCTTTCCTTCTAAAGTAAAAATCCTTTATCATTCTTGCACAGTTTCTCCCTAATTTTTTCCCTTTCTCTCTTGGTAGTAAGAAATGATGAAAGGGATGGGTTTAGAGAAACTTAGAAATACTTATGTGGAACTGATCCAGAATGAAATGAACAGAGCCAGCAGAATAATTTATACAAAAACAACAACATTGTAAAGATAAAAACAACTTGGAAACACTTAACTCTGATCAGTGCAATGAATGATCAATACTAATTAGCGAAGACTCATGATTATCTATGCTGCCCACTTTTGAACAGAGAGGAAATGGATTTAAGATTCAGAATGAGACATACATGTTTATTTTTGGACATGGACAATGTAGGAATTTATTTTGCTTAACTATGCACACTTGTTTTGGTTTTATCTTTTCCTTTTAGATTATAAATAGGAGGGTGGGAGGGAGAGAAAATAAATGTTTGTTAATTGAAAATTGTTTAAAAGAAAAAGGAATGATTTCCTTTTAGAGTGCACATTTAAGGTTAGAGTTAGAGGGAAAAAGGTTGCTGGATTGTTAATTAAGACAATGCATCCTTAAGGTGCTGATCGACACTCCCAAGGCAAGGAAAAGGTATAAACTTTTATAACAATAATCACAACATTACAGAATTACAAAGCTGGAGGGCATCTAAGAGGCCTCTAATTCAACCCATGCCTGACCAAAAATCCCAATGGTACTGATGAATAGTCATATATTATATGTCTTCTTGAACAGGGAGAACCTACTATTTCTTGAACAGTTCATCTCACTTTTGGACAGCTCCAATTGTTAGGAAGTTTTTCCTTGAATCAAGCTGAAATTGACCACTTTCAAAGACTCTGTAGATCATTTAGTCCAGCCCCCTCATTTTACATATGAAGAAACAGGCCTAGAGAGTCTGAGTGATTTTCTTAAGGTTACATAGATGGCAAAGGTCAATTAGGTGGTACAATGGATAGCACCGGGGCTGAAATCAGGTCGTATTCCTGAGTTCAAATATGGCCTCCAACACTAGCTGTGTGACCCTGGGCAAGTCATTTAACCCTGTTTTCCTCAGTTTCTTCATCTGTAAGATGAACTGGAGAAAGAAATGGCAAACCATTCCAATATCTTTGCCAAGAAAACCCAAAAGGGGTCACAGAGAGTTAGTCAGACATGACTGAAAATGACTCAATGACAACACAACACAGATGGCAAGTGGGTAGAACAAGAATTTAAATTTATATCCTCTTAACTCCAAATCTAGAACTCTTTCTGCTACAATCCACTGTTACTAGTTCTCTCTGAGACCAAATGGGACAGGTGTAGTACTTCTTCCCCAGATAAGCCCTCAAATTATTTTAATTACTTTATTTTTAGTTTTCAACATTCACTTTTATAAGATTTTGAGTTCTAAGTTTTCCCCTCCCTCTTTCCTAAGGTGGCATGCAATCTGATACACGTACAATTATTTTACACATTTCTACATTTGTTGTGTTGTGAAAGAAGAATCAGAACAAAAGGGAAAAACCACGAGAAAGAAAAAAACAAAAAAAATGAAAATAGTATGCTTGGATCTGCATTCAGACTCCATAGTTCTGTATCTGGATGTGGATAGCATTTTCTGTTATGAGTCTTTTGGAATTGTCTTAGATCATTGTATTGCTGAGAAGAGCTAAGTCTATCAAAGTTGGTAATTGTACAATGTTGTTGTTACTGTTACTGTGTACAATGTTCTCCTGGTTTTGCTCACTTCACTCAGCATCAGTTCATGTAAGTCTTTCCAGGTTTTTCTGAAATACACCTGCTCATCATTTCTTATGGAACAATAGTATTCCATTACATTCATATACCACAACTTGTTCAGCCATTCCCCCATTGATGGGCATCCCCTCAATTTCCAGAAAAAGAGCTGCTATGAATATTTTTGTACATGTGGTCCTCTTCCCTTTTATGATCTTTTTGGGATACAGACCTAATAGTGGTGTTTCTGGATCAAAGGGCATGCACACTTTGGTTGCCCTTTGGGCATAGCTCCAAATTGCTCTCCATGATGGTTGGATAACTTCACAACTCCACCAACAATGCATTAGTATTCCAATTTTCCTACATCTTCTCCAACATTTATCATTTTCCTATTTTGTCTTATTAGCCAATCTGATAGGTGCGATGTGGTACCTCAAAGTTGTTTTGATATGCATTTCTCTAATCAATAGTGATTTAGAAGATTTTTTCATATGGCTATAGATAGCTTTAATTTCTTCATCTGGATACTGCCTGTTCATATCCTTTGACCATTTATCAATTGGGGAATGACTTGTATTTTTATAAATTTGACTCAGTTCTCTATGTATTTTAGAAATGAAAGCCCTTAAGTTCTTAAAGACAACCATATCTCCCCAAGTACTCTTCAAATGAACCTCACATTTCGTAGTTTCCAGTCTACTCACCATCCTGATTGCCCTCTAAATTGACTCCTATTTTTCATGTCCTTCCTAAAATATGCCACCAAGAACTGAATACAATATTCCGGGGCAAAGTACAATAAAACCATCATCTCCTTTGTTGTGAACATTATACCTCTTTTCATGCTGCATAGGATAGCACTAGCTTTGGAGGGTTGCCATGTCACATTATTGAATGATATTGAGGTTTCAGTCCACTAAAATACCTGTTATTTTTTCTCATGTGTTAACACTTCAACCACCATTGTAAACATATAAAACATTCCTATTGTTTATTTAGGCATAGGAAACAAGGAAAGGAAGAAAAAAGAAAAGAAAAGTAACTTACTCATACACACTAACCTGCACTCCTATTTTTCTTATGTTCATCTAAAACACTTGGCTCATTCACTGCTGACTCCAATGGTATAGTGTTGGGATGTGTTATCTCCTCCATCCCAATGATTATGAATCCCTGGCTGTTGCTATACAAACTTCAGTCACCGTCTACTGTTGCCTGTTCTCTTATTCCCACTCCCGTTAGTGGAGCCCCTTAACGTTCCACTCTAGATCTACCTACCCTTTCCACTTTCCTCTCTGGAGAGCCTGCTCCATCATGAACAAACTTGCTTTTATGTTAAACATTTTCCTTTCTCATTCTAGCCTCTGGTTCTCACTGAGATCTGGCTGTCTCTTCATGATATTGCATCCCCTGAGGCTGCACTTGAATTGCCCTCGATTCACTGATTGTGGTGGGAGACTCGGAATACCCTTTGCTCCCCACTGCTGTTTCTAGACTCTTCTATCACAAATTGATCGCCCATGCCCTTCAAATGGGGAATGACTAAAAAAGTTGTGGCATGTGATTGTGATGGAATATTATTGTACTATAAGAAATGATGAGCAGGATACTCTCAGAAAAACCTGGAAAGACTTGCATGGGCTGATGCAAAGTGAAATGTACTGTGTACAAAATAACAGTAATATTGTAAGATGATCAGCTGTGAGTGATTTAGCTATTCTCAGCAATACAATGATCCAAGACAACTCTGAAGGACTTATGATGAAAAATGCTATCCATTCCCAGAGAAAGAACTGATGGTGTCTGAGTACAGATTGAAGCATACTTTTTTTTTATTTTATTTTTCTTGAGGTTTTTTGTCTATGTTTTCTTTCACAATATGACTATTATTTATATGTTTTGCATGACTACACATGTATAACCTATATAGAATTGCTTGCCTTCTCAATGGGAGTGGGGGTGGGGAGGAAGAAGGGAGAAAATTAGGAATTTAATGTTTTAAAGATGAGTATTAAAAATTGTTTTTACACACAACTGGGGAAAAATACTAAACAAAAAAGAGACCAAAAAAATTGATCACCTAGTCAAGATTATGGTAGCTATTATCTATCAATCTCTAAGTTTTCTCCTTTCTTCCTCAATGAGTCCAGTGACTGTCTCACAGGTCACCCCAACCTCTGCCCTTATACTAGGAGACTCCAATTAATGTTCTGGTACACCTTCAAACATCCTGACTCCCTGGTTCTTCAATCTACTCATTTCCCATGACCTCTACCCTGCCTCCGCTACACATAGAATGGTCATCACTTGATCTTAGCTGTGGCCCACAAGTGTTCATGAAATCTAAATGCTTATTGACTGCTATATTTATGGATTATTTTATGATAGGCTCCAAATGAGGCTACCATGAATCCAAGATCAGCAAAAATTGTGTTGATTAAAATCCTCTGGGATGTGACCTAATCCATATATTTTATTTGACTTAATTACTAAGGGAAATGATTTATTTATATTTTATTATGTTAATGGCAACAGAGGAATACCTTTTTAGGAATACTGTAGGTGCAGATATATGGCACATGGCTACAAAAGCCATATATTTTTTCACAATCGAAATCCAAGACGGCAGAGGTTAAGGGATGATTTATTTCGTACAGGGTCCTTGCAAATAATTCATTTTTCAGTCTCCCTCTTTCATTACTATATTTGGCAGCATCTACAAGATTTGGGGAAGAGAAAAAAATCACTTTAGATATATTTGGAATTTAACTTTTAAAACCAATAAGGATATTATGTAATATGCTATTTATGAAAAACAAAAATGTTTGAAAAGATCACTTAATTAACACTAGAAGGACCAGGCACATCAGATGACACAAAAATTTTTTTGGACCTTTGAGATATTGTTAAGTTACTGTCCTTTCAGTAACACAAGTGGTGAAATAAATCTCAGTCTTTTAGAATTATTTATACATTTTTTTCTTCTTCAGGATTAACTCTAGAAGGATCAGGTGCATCAATTGACAAGGAAATATATTTGATAAATCCTTTCTCCTATCTATGTAAATGTATTTTAAATACAAACATTTATAAGCAGATATTATCATTTTCCTTTGAAATATAAAATTTCATCCTGCTATCTCTTTTTTTGCCTTGTGGATAAAACAAAACTTATTGTGCCAACTGATGCATGTTAATCCTTTGAAAAGGTACTCTAGTGTTAATAAGTTGTATGCCATTGGGTAGATCACCTATATTCTTGGGCCTGAGAAAACTCAAAAGTTCAATAGATATGAAGAATTAAGTAATTCATGGGTGTACTAAGAGACCTATAACAAATATAAAAGCATTCTGGTAGTTCTGGCTGTCTTACACTAAGTATAAATGTCATCTATAAATAGATATATTTCTGTTTATAGCTATTAACTTCTTTTGCATCTACAGTAAATCAATTTGGAGAATTTATTTTTAACATCTCTTCTTGTTGAAGAAGTTTTCATTACATCCTTGTTATTAAAAATAACTGGTCTACAATCTAACTGAACTTACTTAAAGTATATTTGAGACTATGAAGCAGAAAATAACAGAAAATGAACAATTTAGCAGTGGTTTCAATTCTGCAATTTGTCTGCAAGTTTTCCAATAGGCTGAAAAGGAAAAGACTCAGGAGGAAGTTAGTAATAGTGTACTTACTGTGAAATAATAATACATAATCAGTAATTCTTAATAATTTAGTAATAATTATGTTTAACAATAACTTTTATTATTGTGTTCCTTTATTACCTGCTAAGATTTCATCAGTCAGAGTGAACATTTCTAGCTTGCTTCTTTCATTTTCTGAAGATTCTTCAAGGACCATAACTTGAATTTTGTTAGTTCCCCAAACACAAACTGTACATATTTGTAAAATGTTACCACTCACTTCTGAAAATAGACATTAGTAGAAATACACAAAAATTGTCATTGGTGATCATTTTAAGAAATTTGCTTATTCAAATTAAAATATCTAATTACAAGCTACTCTATGACTAAATTTCTATATCTGAACCTTCTGGGTGAGACCACAAAGATTTTATTTATAGAGTAACTCTACAATCCAAAGTAGACATTTTATTCATAAAATAGCATATTCTTTTAGCCTCTAAGACTCTAGATTTATAATATTTTTGACATTTCACATTTTGAAGACAGTGGCATTAAGGGTATGAAAGAAGTTTTCATATATGTGACTTAAAATTATTTCTACTTCCACTGTACCTGAATGTGATTTCAAAGATTTGTGTAGAGAACAAATAAAGGATGTGTGCAGCAAAACATGAGGTAGATATCTTCATTAAAAGTCAAATATTAATGAAATAATATTCAAGGACGAATGAACACAACTTATCATTTGTAACCAAGAAGACATTAGCTGTTTTGTGCAACTTGTCTCCAAACTTCAGTGTTTGCAAAACTCTTATTTCCAAATACAATGTGAAAAGTTTTGTAAACTTCACCATCATAGTTGTTACACTCATAGTTCATTCATTCTCAAAACTTTGACCCTTTGGAGGAAAGACACTAACATATCTAAATTAATAAATACTACTTCTCTATGTACATTACCTGTAAATCCAATAATCCTGAATGTTTCTGAGGCTTTGGAACTCAATAAGAAGATATATCTATCAGACGTTCCAATTATCAAAAACAAACCATGCTGATCGTAACTAGAAAAAAACATATATAGAATTATGTTGTAGTTTTTTCTTATTATAAGAGAATATGTGAAAGGGACTTTAGAGGTGATCTAATCCAACACTTCCCCATTTTATAGATGAGGAGACTGAGGCCCAGAGAGATTAAGTGATTTGCTCAAAGTGACAGAGGTCAAGGTCTTCTGATTCCTAATTCAGTCCTTGACACTATGTCACATTGCATTTCTTAGAGCTCTGATTGTTAAGAAGTCCTTCCATATTCTCAAATGGTTCTGTCATCTTATTAATGTAGATGTTCCTATAGTCATACACATAATAATGCGTCCAAGGTCGACTAGCTTGTCCAAGTATTTCCATAACTCTACCACCAGGGAACCACCCAATGTTTTGGGAGACATTTGCACTTTCTTTTGATATCAGTAGAATACCAGTGGAGCTTACAGATTGTCCATCAGTTATTGTTTCCTCTCATCACATGGGCAGACTATTTTCTTTTTCAGGTATACATTTCTCTGGTGATGTCATTTACTCCATTTCTTCTAAGTAGTTCCTTATTTATTATATATCATAGACTATTCACACTTTCCTGTGCTTAGCACAGTGCCTGGCACATAGTAAGTGCATAATAAATATTTGTTTATTGATGACTGACTGATCACATGACTCTCCATTGCTTCAGAGATTGTAGTGTTCCATGACTTGAAGAAATACTGGAAGAAAATTGGTATTAAAAAATATCACTGGAGAAAAAAATGGTATTAAAAAGATGGGCCTTTGTTTCAGGGAGAAGTTTTGGGGGTGATTAAAGGAGTTTAAATTTTTTTCAGAGTCAAAACTATCCACTTTCCTTGTTTAATTCTGGGACCAATTGCCCATTTGTAGCATCTACCTATGTATGTATATATGTGTATATATATTTATATATATGTATTTATCTATATATACACACATACACACATATATATAGGCATATGTATAGATTGATGAAGTATTTATTAAGAGCTCCCAGTGTGCTAAGCACTGTGTTAAGCTCTGGTGATATAAATAGAAAACTGACAGTCCTTGCCCTCAAGGGGCCCACATTTTAATGGGGAGGAAACACATGTGGAAGGTTTCAGCTGTAAGTCAGATGGAAAGGTCCCATGATCCTTAGGGTGCAGTGCAAAAACAGATCATAATGCCTCTTCTTTAATATTATTTCCATTGCCAAGGTCTGTCAATTTCACCTTTGCAACATCTTTCAAAGTGCAAGAGGAGGTGACATGGTTAGACCTGCACTTTAGGAAAATCACTGGTGGCTGAATGGAGGATGGATTGGAGTGGGGAGAGACATGAAGCAGGCTGACCTAAGAGCAGGCTAATTCAATAGTCAAGGTGGGAGGTAATGAAAGCCTGCTCCACAATGATGGCAGCGTCAGAGGGGAGAAGGAAAAGTATTTGAGACATGTTGCAAAAGTGAAATTGACAGACCTTGGCAGCAGAGTAAATGGTGGGGGTGGGGGTGGGGTAAGAGATAGTGAGGAGTAGAGGATGATGCCTAGGTTGCAAGCCCGAGGAACGGAAAGAATGGCGTTGTACTTGACAGTGACGGGGAAGTTAGGAGGTGAGGAGGGTTTAGGGGGAAAGATACTAAGTTCCATTTTGGACATGTTGAATTTAAGATGTCTACTGGACATCCAGTTGAAGATGTCTGAAAGTCAAGTGGAGATGTAAGATTGGAGGTCAGCAGAGAGGTTAGGGCAGAATAGGTGGATTTGAGATTCATCAGCATGAGAGCTGATGAGATCACCAAAAGAAATAGCATGGAAGGAGAAAAGAGGAGGGCCAATGACAGACCCCTGGTGGACACCTATGGTTAGAGGGTGTGATCTGTATGAGGGTCAAGAAAAGGAAGCTGAAAAGGAAAAGTCAGATAAGTAGGAGGAGAACCATGAGAGAACAGTGTCCCAGAAACCTACAAAAAAGAGAGTATTGAGGAGAAGAGGATGCTCTGCAATGTCAAAGGCTACAGAGAGGTCAAAGAGAATGAAGACTATGAGAAGGCCATTGGATTTGGCAATCATTGGAAACTTTGGAGAGAGAAGTTTTGGTGGAATGATGAGGTTGGAAACTGTATTGTAAGAGGTTAAGACATTGAGAGAAAGTGGAGGCAACTATTGCAGATGGCCTTTTCAAGGAGCTTAGCTACAAAGGGCATGAGAGATATAGTATGATAGCAGGGATGGAAGGATCATGTGAGGATTTTTTGAGGATGGGGGAAACATGGGCACGTTTGTGGGTAGTAAGAAAGGAACCAATAGACAGGGAGAGATTGAAAATATGTGAAAGAGTGGGGTTGACAAGCAGTGATATATTGAAGGAGATGAGATAGAATGGGATCACTTCTGTAGGTAGAGAGGTTAGCCTTGGTAAGGAGTAAGGTCTCCTCTTCAAGTGAGATGGGGCAAAGGAGAAGATAATGGCAGAAGGTATATGAGTGATATGAGATGAGGAAGAGGAGAAGAGGAAAATCAGGGCAAATGGCCCCAGTATTTTCTGTAAAACATGAGGCAAGGTTCACAGCTGAGGGGGTAGGCAGGGGAAGTCATCTGAGCTTTGAGGAGGAATGAAAAGGTTTGAATCACTGTAGATAGTACAATAATGAGTTGATAAGGGAGACACAATAGGATTGCCTATCAGGGCCCAGTTGGGGCTGTGTAACATAAATTTGTAGTGGTCTCAATCAGAATGGTTGTGTGGTTTTCTCCACCTTTGTTTCCACATGTGTAGGAGAGAAGATGGAGGATGGTGGAAATGATCCAAGGCTGAGGCTTACCAGGATACATTGGTGAAATGATAAGGGGCAAGTACTTAAGAAAAGAGGACAGGTTTCTAAAATATATAGAAAACTGAGTCAAATTTGTAAGAATACAAGTCATTCCCCAATTGATAAATGGTCAAAGGATATGAACAGGCAGTTTCCAGATGAAGAAATTAAAGCTATCTATAGTCATTTGAAAAAAAATACTCTAAATCATTGTTGATTAGAGAAATGCAAATTGAAACAACGCTGAGATACTACATTACACCTATCAGATTGGCCAACATAACAAAACAGGAAAATGATAAATGTTGCAGAAGATGTAGGAAAATTGGAATACTGATGCATTGTTGGTGGAGTTGTGAAGTGATCCAGCCATTCTGGAGAACAATTTGGAACTATGCCCAAAGGGCAACCAAAGTGTGCATACCCTTTGATCCAGAAACACCACTATTAGATCTGTATCCCAACAAGATCATAAAAAAGGGGAAGGGACCTACATGTACAAAAATATTTATAGCAGCTCTTTTTGTGATGGCAAAGAATTTGACATTGAAGGGATGCCCATCAATGGGGGAATGGCTGAACAAGTTGTGGAATATGAATTTAATGGAATACTATTGTGCTATAAGAAATGATTAGCAGGTGGAATTTAGAAAAACCTGGAAAGACTTACATGAACTCATGCTGAGTGAAGTGAGTAGAACCAGGAGAACATTGTACGTAGTAACAAGAACACTGTGTGATGATCAGCTTTGATAGACTTAGCTCTTCTCAGCAATGCAAGGATCTAAGACAATTCCAAATGATTCATGATGGAAAATGTTATCCACATCCAGATAAAGAACTATGGAGTCTGAATGCAGATCCAAGCATAGTATTTTCACTTTTTGTGTTTTTTCTTTCTCATGGTTTTTTCCCTTTTGTTCTGATTCTTCTTTCACAACATGACTAATATGGAAATATGTTTAATATGACTGTACATGTACAACATATATCAGATTGCATGCCCTCTTGGGGAGGGAGGAGGGAAGGAAGGGAGAAAAAAAAATTGGAACTCAAATTCTTATAAAAGTTAATGTTGAAAACTTTAAAAGAAAATGTAAAGGGAAAAAAAAAGAGAAGATAGGGTAGAGCTGAACTGGTTCACCAAGAGGCCAAGATGGGGAAAATAAGAGAGTGGCAAGTGAAGGAGAGATGACCTGGGAAAGAACTGAGGGGTCAAGAGAAGGCAGAGGGAGTGGTGGAAAGATAATAGATTATAGTCAGAGAAGAGGATTTCAGGCTTCTTGAACATAGAAGTGGTGCGTCTGTAGGCATCGGCAAGATCAAGCATATGGCAATCTTTGTGTGTGACTGAGATGTCACAGAGGAGTAGATCATAGGAAGTGAAGAGGTTGAGAAAATAAGTGGTTAGAATGTTTGAGATACCTTGTGTATTGGGTACATCGGAGATACCTTATTGGAAGAGAGCCTTTAAAGGCTTTCTTAAGGAAACTGTTTTGCTCCATTGAAACAATTTTTAAAAAAATCAACAAATAATAAACATAGTGGAATCTCTGATTATCTATATCTTCCTTCCAATTTTGTGATGGTAAAGTTGTGTTCTACTGTGGAATATCACATACAAAAACCTGTACATTCTGTTCTAAAGAACCTCATCAAGTATGACCTCATTGCATATATAAGTTATTCTTATGAAAATTTTACTTAGCCAACTTTTATGTGGCACTTTAAAATTTGCTTCACATATATTATCTTATTTAATCTTTGCAACAATCCTATAAAGGAGGTGCTGTTCCTATCCCCATTCTATAGATGAGGGAACTGAGGTTGAGAGGTTAAGCGACTTGCTCAGGGTCACACAGCTAGTAAGCGTCTGTGGCAGAATTTGAACTCAGATATTCCTGACTCTTAAGTCTAGCACTCTAACCACTATACCACCTAGCTGGGGAGGTAGACATGTAGGTTGATAGTTGTCCCTCTTGCTCACTTTTTTGGCACTGGATTTTTTCCCATTCCTTGGGTATATTCACCTCTTTCATATACCCTATAAATTGTCTCTAGCATAGATCTCTTCTGTAGGCAATTAGTTTAATTCAGCAATGTTTTCTTTTTATGTTCTCTTTAGCTTTATTCTACCTCCCCTATAATTATATCTGAGATCTAATGACAAAGAGTTAGTTACAAAAATCTTGGTAAATCTTTTCCATTTTTTCTTCTAGTTTCTTATTTTATCTTTAATGACCATGAGATAAGTTTCTTTACACTAGTTTCACATTTACATTTCACTACTTCTCTGTTTTATGAGGTAATACTGCTCATAATCTTCTGCCATGCTTCTCCATAAAATTTTACAAGTGAGTTTACATTCAATACTGGTATTGTCATTGGCTGCCATATTTATCCCTGTGACAAGTAAGTCAAATATTTGCTAAGTTTGTTTTAAGTTCTTTAGGTGTCCTCATTTTGGCAATTGATTTATATTAGTTAAATTTCTACATGAAATTATTGTAATTGGTCCCTCTGTCCTTTGTTCTATCCATATCCCATTTTAATCATCAACATTTAAATAGGCCAGGATGCAGTTGTTTTAGTTATACGTCCATTCTTTTCTCAAAAACATTCATCATGGGGGCAGCTAGGTGTTGTAGTAGATAGAGCACTGGCCTTGGATTCAGGAGGACCTGAGTTCAAATCCAGCCTCAGACACATAACACTTACTAGCTGTGTGACCCTGGGCAAATCACTTAACCCTGTTGCCTAGACCAAAAAAAAAACCAAAAAACAAAAAAAAAATTCATCATGTATAGGTATGAAACTTTGATGGAGACTACAATTATTTGACCTTTCTTATTCGTTATTTCTACTTTATGTTTTACAGCATGTGATGTGCCATCCTCATTTCTTCCCGTTTCTGCATTGAAGTCACTGAGTATCAAAGTATGTATTAATTTCATTTGGAGGGTCTTATCAAGCTTGTGGAATCTCTCTACATCTTCATTCTCTATAGCAAATGTTGATGCATAAGCTACAATGATTTTCATAGGAGTCTTTTTCTAAATACTTATCATGAATCCTGCAATATGAGACAGTCCAATAATCTATGAAATGATGTTTGTTGTTGATTTTGTTTACACCATAAAACCAATTCTACCAACTCCTTCATTTGTCTCTTCAATGAGAACCTGTGAGCCAATCTTCCATTTGAATGCAATTTCTCCTTCTTTGTTCCAATTTGTTTACCATGAAAGTGTTGAGAATGATATAATTCAGTTATTCCAGTCATTAGTAAAGAGCTAAGCTACCTAAATTCATAGGCTGTCTTAAAAAAAATGTAGACTGTGTGATCCCCTTTTGGCTATACTTCCAACTGTCATTGTAGAAAAGAAAAGAGTCTCTATAGGCCTGAGGGCTATTTTTGTATTTTTCTTCATTGCATAGATTAGTATGGCCAAAGAATTAATTTCTGGATACCAGGCAACCTAATTTTGCAATCAGCTAGGTTCATCCACAGAAAATAGACTAGGCTTTTTCTGGGATCATTACTTACAGCCATCATGAATTTGCCAAAGTGTGTGTTCTGTTGGCATAGCCTTCAAGAGGCCAGGACTACTTTCTTGCCTTAAAGAGGCATTGGAGTAGGGCTTTGTGAAGTCTCCTGAAATCTAACTTTCTATATCTTCTACCCACTGGTGATAGTTCTATGCCCTTTGAGGCCACATAGACCACATCTAATCCATCTTCCATATGAGTAGAAATCAAAATGGACTCATACAAATAATTCTGAATAAATACAAGTAAATCTAAGAGGATAATACATTTTCAGCATCAGCCTCTCTTTTAGATGGTAATTTTAAGTATTTCTTTAAATAATATATATACCTGTTATGGAAGGATTTATATTTGTAAACCTTCAAGGTGCTATTTCATACTGTTTTTGAGGTGAGGGATAAACCATCGTGACCTATCTATTTCTTTGACAATCATATTACCTTGTCTGAGAGGACAAAGTATAATTAGCAAGTAGCTAGTTTCAAGAAATAGATTTCAGGGATTTGTCCTGCCTAACCATAAAAGAGTCAGATAAAATACTGTGTACTGACTTTTCTAGAAATGCCCATTATTTCAGATTTCCTTGAGGAAATAAATATCATGATTATGACAATAGTGACTATAATAATTTTGATGTATACTTTAAATAAGAACTCAAATCTATATAGCCCCTTAGGGTTCGCAAAAATACATTTTTCACAACAACCCTTTGGGGTAGGTAATACAAAGATTATTATGTCCATTTTTTCAGGTGAGGAAGCTCTATGATTTTCCTTTGGGCTCACAGCCAAGTAAGTATCTGAGACACGAATAGAACCCAAATTTCTTGGACTTCAAGTCTAACCCTCTGTCATGTTGCATGACAATGAAGTTCAGAGAAGTCAAATGATTTTCCGTGGTCACATATCTGGTCATTGTCATAGCCTTAGATCAAGTCTCCTCACTCCCAAACCCATGTTCTTTCCTCTACACCAGACACAGTTGTTCTTTAAAGTCAGAGGGGTATTGGGAATGGTGAAAGAAAAGATGAGGCTGTTACTTCCTTAGAGAAGAGGGGAGTCAATTCACCTGGCAATCTTTTATAAATCAACTTTGAGAAAGATGAAGGGATTCTCAGATTGGGTCAGAAAATTTTGCTTCAGAGGCCTAGAGAGTAATGATGGTTTATGAACTTGGCCCTATTTTTTACTCTAGTTTATTGTTTCTGAATTTATAATTCTCTTTCCTCTTGTAAGTAAATAACTGCTTAATCCTAGAATGACTGGGATGTAATAGAAGAATGAGGTATGATGCTGGGAGCAATAGACATCCTTGATGACAACTTTTCAGAAAGGGGATTCCATATCCCTACTCTTGACTTCAGAAATAAAAGATCACTTCAGCCCAAGATCAGGTCAGAGATTTCATCCAGCAAAGGAGGAGCCTTGTTACAAGCTAGTGCTGCATCCTTTATAAGGACCAAGATTGATTACGTGTAAATGTAATGGATGCCTTACAAATTATGTCCAAGAATATAATAAGCTTATCAATCCCTTAAAACAGGGAGATACCTCTTCTTTGCCCAGATCCTGGGTATTGTAATGGATCCTGGGTTCTGGGAAAGAAGACTTAACAGGGTTCAGAGGAAGGACATAGATAATCCCAAGGACTCAAATTCTACATGGGAGATTAGTTCAGGAGATGCTTTTTCAAGTATTTGAAGGGTTGTCATATGGAGGAGAGATTTGACCTAGAGAAGAGAAGTAGGAGCAATGGGAAGAAGTTACAAAGAAACAGATTTAAGCTTGATGTTGGAAAAAACTTCTAACAATTACAGCTGACCACAAGGAGAATGGGCTACTTCAAAAGATGATGGATTCCCCCTTTGAAGGTTTTCAAGAAGAGCTAGATGACTATTTATCACGTATTTCTAGTGGGGATCCCTTTTGAAGATGGGTTGAACTAGGTCCTTTCTTACTTTCTAATTCTTTTATTTCAATCCTATGATGAAACAGCCTGTAGTTACTATTTCAGTCACAGAAAATAACATAAATGAAATACATTATGTCAACATAGTTCATTTGAAATAAAAATCCATCATGTAGAGTTTATATAAATAATTTCCAAAAAGAGCTGTGTTATTGCCTCATGGTGCCCTCCAACCAATGCCTGATAATATTACAAACTAGAAGATTTTGTAATATTTTGAAATCTCTAAAAAACTTAAAATTATAAAAGCAAAAAAGTAGAATGTCAATAAACAAAAATAGTTATTCATTTCCACATTAAGAGAAAATAGGGTAAAATAATTATCCAATAATTCAGTTAATAATTCAGCCAATAATTAAAGAAGTCAAAAGTCGTTATGCTAGCTGGGACCTCAGAACTATTGATTCATGGTATTCTCAGCTAACATGTCATACAAGATATCACAAATAGCACCTCTTCTAAGTTTTACTTACTGTACATGCTGTATAGAAGAACTGGTCAGGAGGATTTTGTGAACAAGTCGAGGGGATTGGAGATTAGAAATGTCAAGGAACAGCATATATCCTGCAGTGGTACCCACAGCCACTGAAAGCGAAGAGGGGCAGCAAGCCATATCATTTACCTAGTCAAAATAAATCCCCAAATTTTTAACTTTAAGCATAAAAGACTCACTTCAGAACTCCTCTCCCTCCCCCTGTCCGAATGGCTGAATGAGTGAACAAATAAGGTAGCACCAGGTTCTAATATAAATTAAAAATACACATGTAATACAGGATATGAACTGGAATTGGACCTATGATTTTATTGGTATAATAAACCCTCAAATGAGGAGACTCCCTCTACCAATGCACCTTCACCATCTCAAGAGTTTCTTGGAGCACTGAGAGGTTAAGTAACTTGCCCAAGGTCATACAGCCAGGATGTATCAGAGGCAGGCTTGAACTCAAGCCTTTTTGGCTCCAAGACTGGCTGTCTGTACACTACAATATACTGCTTCTCATATGTAAAATAGGAAGATCACATAAAATCACGTATATTAAGCACTTGGTAATCTTATACATGATATAAATATCAGCCATTATTACTATTACTATTATTATTCCTGATAGGTGAAGCTAATTGAATCCCTGAGGATATGTAGAAACATTTAACCTTTAATGGAAGTGTAATGTTGTCAAGAAAATGTATCCATGAATATATTTAAGAGTTTATGAGCTACAAATTATAATTACATGACTTACTTTTAGCTACAAAATCATTATTAAAATTAAATTAATCATACTATGAATAACAATGATGCAAAAATAAATATTTAAAATCAACTATTCAATTTAACCTTTTCAGAATTCTTAACTGTTGTAAGTGACTATTACAGAAGGAAAGGATACGCAATCACAACTGAAGCATTGCTTAACACAAATTTTGATCTCACTAATAGCCCTCCACTTAATTCTTCTAGGGAATAGGCAGTATCACACACTTGTGACAGACAGTATCACACCTGGTTTCTAGGGACAATTTGATACCCTTTGCTCTCTTTAAATGGTTGCAAATCCCTTTTTTTGCTTTAGAGCAGCCAAGGCAGAGATGACTTGAGGAATAGTAACAGAACTCTAGAAGCTATACCATAGTTAGTTTAGGATAAGAGTTGTATACTCTGGAAACTCATCTGTTTATTGCTCTTTGTAATTGCTTTTGTTTTATTTACCTCTCCTCCTACCCAGTTATATATTTTTTGTCTTTTGAAAAAAAACCACACTTATCTCAGTTGAACTAAGGAAAAATGAGACTTGTCTTCACCTAGGCCAAGGAAACTAAGGAGATCAGATTACTTCCTTAGAAATTATACATAGTGGAAGAAAACTGGGAAAACCGTGGGTTCAGTTGTGATTCCTTACCCCTTCCTACCCGGATTATTTCCCTCCTAGATATATTTTAGAAAACATTACAGGGTTTAACTCTGTAGATAAGTCATTCATGTACTGTATTTTGACAATTGCAGGGTAAGTATGGATTTACTTGGATCAGAGGAAGATTTACCATAATTATTATAGAACAATGGAATCATCCATAAAAAAATAGAGTCACTGCAAGTAAAGAAAGTGACTTAAGTGGAGTTTGTAGAATCAGTTTAATTACTTTTCAGTCATACCTTGTGATTATTATTTTCTTGAATAAGGAACGTTAGACTTCAGCTAGTCCAATCTCCTCAGTTCATGAACAAGGAAACTGAGGACCAGAAAAAATGAATTCACTTGACCAAGTTCATATAGCAGCAAAGCCAAAATTAGCACCAAGGATTAGTTCATGTGAAAATGAAAAGGCAGGCTGCCATAGCATTCAACATGAAAAGTACCTGCTTCTTATATATACATACCTCTGTCTTAAGGCATAATCTACTGACAGGAGATCCATCTTCTATCAACCAAATATAAAATTCTCCTGAAAGGCTTATTGACTGTAAGAGATATACAATAATAAAAAAACTAAAGTTATTAATATGGAAATGCTTTCTATGAAAAATGAACTTGTTCTGCATTCTGTGAAGGCAGGTCAGCCTCTACTGATTTACTTTGAGATGTGACCAAAAGTGCCATTTATACAAAGGAATGACTGTTCAGTCAGGATGAAAATTTCAAAATCAACATTTGTGATTTAAAGATGCACTGAATACTACTTTTACTATGGGTTAACTATTCATTAAACACTAAATAAAGATGATCTGTGTTATTTTCAATATGGAAATTGACTAATTAAAGTGACTAGAGGTATAATTCTACCTGATGTATTTGCATGGGATTTTAGAAAATTCACCATAGTTGTCCTTATATTTGTGTCCTTTTGTAGAATTAGTCCTTAAAACACATGGAATTTAATGGGATTTGTGTTCTGATATCTCTTCTGGTTGGGTATGAAGAAAAGAGGATGAGAAGTGGCTATTTGGCTAATATGATGAAAAGGAGGATCAGTTATGTATCACCTTGTCATTAAGAACTTAAATGGAATTTTATTGGTTTGGGCAATTCTTGAGAATGGATGAGGTGTTTCCTTCTGAAGTGAAATTAATTTGAAATTCAAAACTCTTTCTATTGTTTTATAGGATTTAGAACTGGAAGGGACCTTACAATCTATCTAGTCCAAGCCCTATTTTCCGTCACCTCATTTACAGAGATGAGAAAACTGAGGCAAAGAGAAATAAAGTGATTTACTGAATGTCATACAGGCAGCAAGTAAATGAACATAGATTAGATTTCAGGTCGGTGCTTGTTTTGCTACACCAAAATTTCTTTTTTCCCTCTAATTTATTATTTATTTTTTTAACATTATTTCCCTTTTAAATGTTGAATTACAAATTCTCTTCTTCACCTCCACCCCCAAGAAGGCAAGCAATATGATATCAATTACACATGTGAAATCATGGAAAACATATTTCCACATTAACCACATTGCAAAAAACAAAAAAAATGAAGTGAGAAAATTTTACTTCAGTTTGTACTCACAGTTCATCAGTTTTCTCTCTGGAGGTAGAGAGCATTTTTTCACCATGAGTCCTTTGGAATTATCTTGCATCAATGGAGTAGAGTAGTCATGTAGCCGAGTTTTTCATAGTTGATCATTATTACAACATTGCTGTTACTGTGCACAATGATCTCCCAGTTCTTCTCACTTCACTTTGTATCAGTTCATATAGGTCTTTCCAGGTTTTTCTGAAACCACTTCCCTAGTCATTTCTTTCTTTTTTTTTTTTTTGAGGCAATTGGGGTTAAGTGACTTGCCCAGGGTCACACAGCTAGTAAGTGTCAAGTGTTTGGTCTGAGGTCGGATTTGAACTCAGGTCCTCCTGATTTCAGGGCCGGTGCTGTATCCACTGCGCCACCTAGCTGCCCCCCTAGTCATTTCTTATAACATGATAGCACTCCATAACAATCATATGCCACAGCTTGTTCAGCCATTCCCCAATTAATGAGCATTCCCTCAATTTCCAATTCTTTGCCTCCACAACGAGAACTGCTATGAATAATTCTGTACATATAGGTCCTTTTCCTGCAGTTTCATAGCTCTTTAGACCTAGTTCTAAATTGTTCTCCAGAATGGTTGGACCAGTTCACTATTCTACCAGCAGTTCATTAATGTACCTATTTGCCCTCATCCCCTCCAGCATTTGTCATTTCTGATAGGTGTGATGTGGTACCTCAAAGTTGTTTTAATTTGCATTTCTCTAATCAATAGTGATATAGAGCATATATAATCATAGATGACTTTGATTTCTTTTTATGAAAACTGATTGTTATATCCTTTGACATTTGTTAATTGGGAAGTGGCTCTTATTTTTTAAAATTTGGCTTAATTTTCTACGTATTTGAGAAATGAGGACTTTATCAGAGAAACTTGCTATAAAATTTTTTGATATGACTTCGTTGTCTGCGGTACCTTTTAATCAAAACTGAGTATCTCTTTTAATTAGGTCTATTTTTACTTTTGCTTTGTCTGAGATCATGATTGCTGCTACTTCCTTTTTTACTTTAGCTGAAGCATATTAGATTATGCTGCAGCCCTTCATTTTAGCCGTGTGTGTCTTTCTGTTTCAAGTGTGCCTCTTGTGCACAACATATTGGTGGATTCTGATTTCTAATCCACTCTGCTATCCACTTCTGTTTTATGGGTGAGCTCATATCATTCAAATTTACAATTATGATCACTAGCTGTGTATTTCCCTCCATTCCATTTTCTTTTGTTTCTTCATCTCTCTCTCTTTTTATCCTGACCCTCCACAAAAGTCTATTTTACTTCTAACTACTGCCTCCCTTAATTTGCCCTCCCTTTTATCATTCCCTTCCCCTTTCTCTTATCACCTTCTCCTAGTTCCCTTTTTGGGTAAGATATATTTCTATACATAACTGTGTGTATATTTTCTTCCCTTTTTCAAACAATTCTGATGAGCATGAGATTCAAGCATTGCCCTCCCCACCCCATATTTTCCTTTCCATTGTAAAAGTCCTTACTTGTATGCCTCTTTTAAGTGAGAAAATTTTCTCCAATTTACCTCTCCCTTCCCCCTTCTCACAGTGCATCCCTCTCTCTCACCTTTTCATTTTTTGGGAAATCATTCCAATATAATTGATTCATATTCAACCCTTTGTCTATGTAAACTCCTTTTAACTGCTCTAATAGTGGTAAAGTTCTTAGGAGTTACACGAATCATCTTCCCGTTAAGAATGTAAGCAGTTCAGCATTATTGAGTCCTTTATGATTTCTTTTTCATGTTTACATTTTTATGCTTCTCTTGAGTCTTCTGTTTAAATGTCACATTTTCTATTCAGCTCTGGTCTTTTCATCAGGAAAGCCTGAAAGTTCTCTATTTCATTTAAATATCCCTTTTTCCCCCTGAAGGATTTTACTCAGTTTTTCTGGGTAAGTCATTCTTAGTCTTAATCCCAGCTCCTTTGCCTCTCAGAATATCATCTTCCAAACCTTCCATTCCTTTAACATGGAAGCTGCTAAATCTTGTGTGATACTGACTGTGGCTCCATGATATTTGAATTGTTTCTTTCTAAATGCTTACAATATTATCTCCTTGACCTGGGAGCTCTGGGATTTGACTATAATATTCATGAGAGTTTTCATTTTGAGATCTCTTCCAGTACGTGATTGGTGGATTCTTTCTATGTCTATTTTACCCTCTGAATGTAAGATATCAGGGCAGTTTTCCTTGATAATTTATTGAAATATGAATTTCTAGGCTCTTTTTTTGATCATGGCTTTCTGGTAGTCCAATAATTCTTAAATTATCTCTCCTTAATCTGTTTTCCATGTCACTTGTTTTTTCAGTGAGATAGTTCACATTTTCCTCTATTTTTTTCATCCTTTTGACTTTTCAAAAAATGTTTCTTGATATCTCATGGAATCATTAGCTTCTAGTTGCCTAATTCCAATTTTTAAAGAATTATTTTCTTAGTGAACTTTTGTATTTCTTTTTCTATTTGACCTATTCTGCTTTTTAAGGAGTTCTTTTCTTGAGTGAATTTTTGTGCCTCTTTTACCATTGGGCCAATTCTGTTTTTTAAGGTTATTTTCTTCAATTTTTTGTGCCTCTTTTACCAAGCTGTTAATTTATTTTTCATAATTTTATTGTATCACTCTCATTTCTTTCCCCAATTTTTCCTCTACTACTCATTTCTTTCTTTAACTCTTCCAGGAATTTTTGTTGAGCTCATGTCCAATTATCATTTTTCTTTGAGGCTTTGGTTGTAACTGTTTCCATGTGGTCTTTTGAGTTTGTGTCCTCTTCTTTCCTGCTACCGCAGTAGCTTTTTATAGTGAAGTTTGACTATAATATTCATGAGAGTTTTCATTTTGAGATCTCTTCTAGTACGTGATTGGTGGATTCTTTTTATGTCTATTTTACCCTCTGAATGTAAGATATCAGGGCAGTTTTCCTTGATAATTTATTGAACTATGAATTTCTAGGCTCTTTTTTTGATCATGGCTTTCTGGTAGTCCAATGAAGGGAATAATCCATTGCCAAAAATACATCTGGGCCAGCTAGGTGGCACAGTAAATAGATTACTAGGCCTAGAGTTAAGAAGACTTATCTTCGTGAGTTCAAATCTGGCCTCAGACACTTACTAGCTATGTAACTCTGTGCAAGTCACTTAACCCTGTTTGCCTCAGTTTCTAATCTATAAAATGAGCTGGAGAAGGACATGGCAAACCACTCCAGTATCTCTGCCAAGAAAACCTCAAATGGGGTCACAAAGAGTCAGACACAACTGAAAATCACTTAACAACAACAAAATGCACCTAGAGTATATTGGTTTGAATAGAATGAAACAAATGTGTCAAAGGATTTTTTTTTTTACTTTTTCATGTGATATGTTTCAATAAATTCACTTTCTGTTTTTAAAAATCTGATATAAATGTCTCAGACTGGGGATAGATAAAGTGGATTTGTTTGCTGAATGTTTAACTCTTACAAATAATGTATTTAAATGGATCTTTGGGAAGATAGTATAGGGCTGGTCTATAAGGAAAAAGCCAGTAAGATTTTCTTTTTCCCTTTTCAGGTGACTGAAATAACATTACAATCTTCACATTGTAATGATAGTGCTTCCTTTGCAGGCTGGTTGCTACAGATCATGAAACTATTTGGATTTAGCTTGACCACCACAATCTTCAGGCTCTTACTCCTTTCCTCCTGCTTGCACCCTTTTTGCAAAGTGGTTTAAACACATTGAACAATGCAATGAGATCATATTCCAAAAATTGCTTTTAAAGTGGAGATTAAAAAATTAGAAGCTAAATAACTAAATCCTAAAGATTGAGTGGGTCAAAGTACAAATTATAAAAATAATAATTTCATAAAAGATAATGAAAAAATGAGACAACATGAAATGGATGGATATTTGCAAATATATAAATTGTCCAGATCAATAGAACAGGAAATAGAGTACTTAAATTACCCTATCTTAGAAAAAGAAATTGAACAAACCATAAATGAATGTGTGAAGAGAAAAACCCTAATTCCATATGGGTTTATAAGCAAATTCTACAAAACATTTAAAAAACAGTTAATTCTAATTCTACATAAACTGTTTGGAAAAAAATAGGAAAAGAAAGAGTCCTACAAAATTCCTTCTGTTACACAAATATGATCTTGATACCCAACCTAGGATGACTCAAAACAAAGAAAGAAAACTATAGAATAATTTACCTAATGAATATTAATGCAAAAAAATTGAATAAAATATCAGGAAAAAGACTCCAGCAACATATCACAAAGATAATATACTATGACCAGACTGTATTTGTGCCAGGAATGTAGGACTGGTTCAATATTTAGAAAACTGTGAATATAATTAAACATGTTAACAAAAACAACAAAATCATATGCCTATATCAATGGATGCCTAAAAACTTTGGACCAGATACAACATCCATTCTTGTTTTCAAAAACAATAATACCACCACCAGAAAGCTTAAGAATAAACAGAATTTTTCTTGATATGATGCGTAGTATCTATCTAAAACCAAGAGCCAGAATGATTTGTAATGGGTATAAACTAGAAGCCTTCCAGTATGATCAAGGATAAAGCAAGGATGTCCAAGGATATCACTATTGCTATTCAATATAGTACTAGAAATGTAAAGTCAGTAAAGCAGGAAAAAGAAATTGAGGGAATAAGCATAGCAAAGAAGAAACAAAATTATCGCTAAAGAGAGTCAGCTAAAAAACTAATTGAAACAACTAATGACTTCAGCAATGTTGCAGAATATAAAATAAACCTGCACGAATCATCATCATTTCTCCATATCATCAACAAAATTCAGTAGGAAGAGATAGAAAGAGAAATTACATTTAAAACAACTATAGATAGCACAAAATACTTGGAAGTCTACCTACTAAGACATACATGAGGACTACATGAACACAATTACAAAACTGTAATACGTCTTTAAATACAAAACACAACTAAAGATAGATATAAATAATTAAAAAATATTAATTGTTCATAAGTAGACCGGGTCAATATAATAAAATGGCAATACTACTTAAATTAATTTTGTTATTCAATTCCATACCAATCAGACTACCAAAAGATTATTTTATAGAGCTAGGAAAAATAATAACAAAATTCATCTGGAGGAACAACATGTCAAGAATATCAAGGAAATTAGTTGAGGAGAAGGTGGAAAGTAGAAAGAAAATATTAAACTATATTACAGATATTAAACCATGCTACAAAACTGTGATCATCAAAAATAATTTAATACTGGGCAATATAAAGAGGTTGATCAGTGGAACAGATTAGGTACACAATACATAGAAAGAAACAAGCATAGTAACTTAGTGTTTGATAAATCCAAAGATCCCAGCTATTGGATCAAGAGCTCACTACCCAGGGGCAGTTAGGTGGCGCAGTGGATAGAGCTCCAGCCTTGGAGTCAGGAGGACTGAGTTCAACTTTGACCTCAGACACTTGACACTTAGTAGCTGTGTGACCCCGGGCAAGTCACTTAACCCTGATTGCCTCACCAAAAACAAACAAACGAAAAAAAAATAACAAAAAATCCCCGCTACCTGACAAAAACTGTTAGGAAACCTAGAAAATAGTCTGGTCTGGCAAGGCTAAGTGTAAACTAACATGTCGCAACATTTTCCAAGACAAGCTCCATATAGGTACATTATTTAGACATAAAGGGGAACATCATAAGCAAATCAGAGACACATGAAAGAAATTACTTATCACATTTATGGATAGTGGAAGAGCTAAAGACCAAACAAGAGACAGAGAAGTTCACAGGAGGTAGAGTAGAAATTTTGATTACATAAAACCTAAAAGTTTGTGCACAAGCAAAAGAGCAAGCAAGCTCAAATTAGAAGAAATTGGAGGGAAAATCTTTGCAGCAAATTTCTCTGATGGTCCTACAATCAGATGGTCCTTGGTCCTACCAAAATCTCAGTTCTAAAATACATTAAAACTGATTCAGATGTGTAAGAATACAAGTCATTTCTTAATTGATAGTCAAGGGATGAATAGCTAGTTTTGAGGAGAGAGGAAGAAAATTCAAGCTATCCACAGCAACATGGAAAAATGCTCTGAATCACTAATAATTAGATAATCAAATGCAAATTAAAAACAACTCTGAGGTACCATCTCACACCCATTAGACTGGCAAAGATGACAATAAAGGAAAATAACAAATGTTGGAGGCACTGTAGGAAAACAAGCACGTCAATGCACTGTTCACAGAACTGTGAGCTCGTCTCGCCATTTCAAAAACTCCTTGAAATTATGCCAAAAAAGCTGTTAAACTAAGCATACCTTTTGACCCACAGATACTGCTACCCAAAGAGAATAAAGAAAGAGGAAAAGGGCCCATAGGTACAAAAAATATTTATAACATCTCTTTATATTATGTCAAAGAACTGAAAAACAAAAGGGTGTCTATCAATTGGGTAAAGGAGGAACAAGGGGATGATTTCAAGAGAAACCTGAGAAGGCATGTATGAACTGTTACAAAGTGAAGTAAGCAGAACCAGGAGAACAAATTTATACAATAACAATATTGTAAAGACAGTCAACTTTGAAAAACTTGGGAACTCTGATTAACACAATGAACAACCACAATTCCAGAGGACTCATGATGAAACAAGCTACTCACTTCCAGATAGAAAGGTGATGGACTCTTAAGTACAGACTGAGGATTATAGGCTTTTTCCATTTTGGGGGGACATGGTCAATGCAGAATTTGTTTTGCTTGACTATGCATATTTGTGACAGGTTTTGTTGTTCTTTTTTTTTAATGGAGTGGCAGGAGGACAATAAAGTAGAATTGGGAGGGAGAGAAAGAATTTGTACCTAAAAATGTAATGTAATTAATATTTCTACCAGTGTTGGTACATATTTGAATTGTATATAGTTAGGTATTCACAGTTCAGAAATCTCAATGCCAATACATTTCTAAATAGAGCAGAGAAAATTCTCACCATGCAGTATTGGTTTCCAAGTGTGACAAAGTCAATTGCCTGTATATTGCCACCAGATGCATCCAAGATTGACTCAATTTTTGGCTTTTCTCCAAAAGTATAGTAAAAAACAGATCCCTGTCAAACACAATTTAAAAATTATTTGAAAACAATCTGTTTGCTGCAAGTTCTTCAGATAATATAACTTCCTGGGTTTTCTTTTTGAAACCTTGAAATAAACCTTTGAAGAAAATAGCGGTGAACTCATGAATTATTTTACAGATTACAAATTCAACTGCTAAAAGAATTAATTCACCTCTTAAAAAGCTATACCTAAAACATGCACAAATGCAGTGACAATCATAGAGCCTGGAGACTTCTGGTTTCCTGATGAGCCAGTTGACCAAATTTAACTATGAATTTCCTCTTTTTAAAAATAAAATGATAGCACTAGCAGCAGTTATTAACATTTATATAACGTTTTAAGTTCTGCGTAGCTCTTTACATACATTATCTCATTTGATCTTTATAACAATTCTACTCTGATATGTTATCATAGTGTGAAGGTCTGTAAAGCTATGACAGTGCAAACTCTGATGCATCCTACCAAGCCAGATTTGGGCACAGAAATGGTTATCTGAACACCAGCCTACCTAAGTTCAGCACTAGAAGGTGTAACACCATACTATTTATTTTTCAGCTGTATCAATTCATAGAATACAGAGAGGCTATGATCTGTAGCAGTGGAGGAAGTATCTATACAATTTAAGTCACTGGTCTTTCAAATATATGTCCATGACAATACTTATTTCAGGAAATAATAATTATTTTAGGAAATAGAAAATTAAGGTGAAGGTTCTTCTGGACCAAAAGGAAAAAGAATGTTTTTAGGCAGGCTTCAAAACTAAACTGTAGCCTTGTGACTAATGAGATTGAAGTGAGCCCATGGCAAGAAAATTCATTCAAGATCTAAAGTACAATAATATCAAGATCTCATGTCACAGGTTATTCTACCTCATTTGAGGTTTTTGCCCTGGATCTTGAATATTCATTCCCCTCTCTAATTGGATGTATTACTAGTAATGAACAAAAGCTCAAATAATACCAGAATCCCTATGGAGTTACAGCTAGTTGTTCATGCTGTAGGGTCTTCTGTAAGTTGCTAAGATTCAATTTGGTAAGCATTAAAACTCACTAGTATTTTTGAGCCCCTTCTGCTTGGCTATTATTATTGGCCTATAATTTGGTAACATTTTGTGGTGTATGTTTGGTCTATAATTTGGTCACATTCAGTTATGCTATCTCTTAAGTACTATCTGCACAATAAATACTTTTAAAATCAAGGTAATTGGTCCAACAAGTAGGCACTTTGGGGCATAAGGATGTGTAAGGTAGCTTGGCCGGGGTCAGACAAGTCAGTAGTGGAGCTCAGAAATCAGTTCTGTTCATTTAACTATAATATCAGATCTTTCAAATAAGGTCAGTAACCCTCACTCACAGGAAAAAATTAGGGTTCGTGCAAAGTTTTATTGTATATTACCATCCTTACAAGCTTTCTGGATTTTGTGAGAGAAATGAGGAGAGAAAAATCATTTAACAGAGAGTAGCTCACATAATGATAGTATCTAACAGTTTAAAGGGATCTTGGAGGTCATCTTCTCCAATCCTCCACCCAATGTAGGGATCTCATCTAGAGCATCCCTATTACATGGTACTTTAGTTTCTGCTTGAATAATCCAATTATGGAGATTTTTCTAAGATGTCAGTATGCTACAGTGGATAATGTGTTGGACTCAGATCCCACTTCTGGCATTTATTTAGTTATGTGACCATAAGCAAGTCATGAATTCTTTGGGCTCCCATTTCTCCAGCTGCAAAATAGATAATAATATCCATAATACCTCACAGAAGTATTATATGAGGCTCAAAGAACATAATGTATGGAAAATTCTTTGCAAACATTAAATTGCTTAACAAATATTGGTTATAATTAATCCATTGTTAGAACATAGTAGTCATTAAAGCTTCTTATATAATCAAAAGTTACTTCCCAGTCATTATATTTTTGTCCTCTGAAGCAATAGAGAACAAGCCTGACTCTTCTCCTACATGATAGACCTTCAGACCACTATATCTCTCTTTAGTTTCTTTTCAAAGCTAAATATACAAAGTTCTTATAATCATTCTTAATATGGTAACTTAAAAACCCTCTGGTTGTCAGTGTCCTTTTTTAAGTATGGTATGTGAAACTGAATATAACAATCCAGATATGGTCTGAACAGTGATCCTCTAAATAGGGGATCTAATACTTCTATTAGTGTAACTTAAGAAAGTTTTCATTGGCCTTTTTAGCAACTACTAATTCATACTGAGCTTGTAGTCCTCCAAATCTCTCAGGTCTTTTCAACATGTTGCTATGTTTTTCCCATCCTTGAGTCAGTGTGCTAATTAATTCCATTCAATTAAAATACTTATGAAATTCATACTGTGTTCTAGCCTTTGAATTCAGTACTAAGAACAGAAAAATGAAAAACAGTAAAGTTTCAGGAATTTATGAAATTTACTGCATAAATGTGACATGCCTACAAATAAGTATATTGTATATGACATAATGCAAAAACAGTCAAATAGAGAGATCTCAATAGCATGCAATAAGAAATGTCAGGAACAATTAGGGAAGGCTCCTTGGAGGAGGGGGCGCCTATGCTGGCTCTTGATAAAGAGGATTTCAGCAGGTGGGGATGATGAGGGTTGTACATTCCAGGTATGAGGAATAGGCCGTGTGAAGAGACAGTTGTGAGGCAGGAGGTCAGAATTAGGAAAGTCCAATCTGACTGGAGCACAGAAGGCAAGGAGGGTATTATTTACCAAGGCTGAAAGATTTTGGCAAATGGATGTGTGAGTTGGAAGGGAGAAGGAAGATTTAAAGATGATTCTGAAGTTTGAAGTGTGAGGGACTGCAAAGGTGGTAGTGCCACTGAAAGAGATAGGGAGAAAGAGAGGTATGAGAGTACGGTTTAGATTTGTTGAGTTTGAGGTGCTAGTGCGACATTCAAGTAGAGATGCTGGGAGATGCAAAGCTACTTGCCCTGTAAAAAGATGACACAAAAGGCTAAGCTGCAGAGACAGGTAGGCCCAGAGAGCCTAGCCGAGTAGCCTGTCCGTCGCAGACAAGAGAAGAGAAAGGACAGTGGAGTCCTGGAGCATCAGAGGGGTGAATGGCCTTGGCCACAGGTGTTCCTTAAGTTTGTGCCTCTCTACTAGTGTGACCTAGAATCTGTTCCCACCTTTCTGTGCCCATTCTTCCCACTTACGCTGTGTGTAGTTGTGGGAGAGTATACTTCAAGTTCATAGGAAGTGTTTATTATTATTTTTCATGCTATAATATTTCAGTAAATGCCTTTGCGTTGATACCATTGTGTCAACTGGCTGACTATGGAAAGTAAATACAATTGAGCCTTTTAAGCTATAGTTTTAGGAGTGCAGACAGAGAGAATACCTTAAGTCTGAGGGCAGTTACCCTTGGAAACAACCTGCAACAAAGAATTTGAAGGTAGCATAAAGGGAACCGCTACATATGTAAACAGAATATGCACAATAATTGGAGGAGGGAGAGAGCAGTAACAATTGGAGGGATCAGAATAGGCCTCTCATAGGAGACAGACGTGAGCTGAGACCTCAAGCAAGCTGAAGATTCTACCAGACGGAAGGGAGAAGGGAGCACATTCCAAGAACGGGGCAACCTTTGCAAAAGCACAAAGGGGGAAGAAGGAATGCTCTTTTGAGAACAGCTAGTAGCCTGATCTAGCTGGAATGTAGAACAAAGTATTAATGCCAACTAATCATGGTAAGAATGATTGAGGGGAGCTGGGTTGAGAGGGTTAAAAACACCAAATAGAAAATTTCTCATTTTATCCTAAAGGAAATAGGAGAAGCCATTGACAGTTTTTGAGAAGAGGAGTGGTAAGGTCAGGCTTGTGCCTTGGGAAGGTTTTTTTCAGCTGTATGGAGAAAGGGAGAAACTGGAGTCCAACTAGGAACCTAGTGCAGTAGAGTCCAGGCAACAAGTGAGCAAGTCCTGAACTAGGGCAGTAGCCATGCAAGGGGACAGAAGGGGACAGATGGAAGAGATACCATGAAGGTAAAATCAACAAGATTTGAACTTATGCGGGTAGTGAGCGAGAGGCAAAAGTCAAGGACGACTCAGAGGTTGCAAACTTCAGTTACCAGAAGAACATGGGGCTGACAAAAGAAATAGGGAGGTTTAGAGGAGGGGACAAATTTAGGCAGGCGGATAATCTTTTACATTATGGACCTATGTAGCTTGAGATGCCTATAGGACATACAAGCTGAAATGTCTGACAGCTGGCTATGTGGGACTGCAGTTCAAGAGCAAAATTAGGGCAACATATATAGCTCTGGGACCCAACTGTATAGAGGCAACAATTGAGCCTGCAGGAGTTGATGAGATCACTAAGAGAAAAAGTATGGAGAAAGAGGAAAGCTTGGCTAAGGACTTGGCTTTTAGGCCACCCACTCCTAGGGGGCGGATGATTGCAAAGCGGAACCAGGAGGAGCGTTCATGGAGGTAGAAGGACCGGAAGAAATCAGTAGCACAAAAACTGTCCCAGAGGAAAGGGAGCACCAAATGCTTCAGGGGAGTCAAGAGGGATGTGTTCTGAGGAAAGATCATGTAGTTTCATTTGAATGGTAAGGATGGAAGCTGAATGAAAATGGATTTAGAAGTGAATGGGGAGGTCATCCCAAGGCAGCTGCATAAGATCAGAGCAGCAGCTGGAGCCTGCCACATCTGTAAGACCATGAGAGATGACCTCTATCTGAATGGACAAGGTGGGAGGTGGCTGTAACTGTGTGTGTTTCATTTGAGATGCTTGCGTGCCCAGGAACAGGAGTGCAAAGAGAAACAAACCTTTGAAGAGAGAGAAACAATGTGCAGCTTTGCCCTACCCCAACCTTATTTCCATTTGGTCCTTTCTTCAATTTGCTCTTTTAAAAATGCATTTGCCAGATTTTATATTTTTTATGTTTTTCATAAACATTTTTCATAAATACATTTTTATTCATATGTTTTACATATACATCTGTGGTCAACCCTGTCCTTGGATTGCTGAGTGTGAGAGGAGAGAGAGGGACCTTTCCTAGTACAGGGTGTTGTTGTTCAGTTGCTTTTCAGCTATATTCAACTCTTTGTGACCCCATTTGGGATTTTCTTGACAAAGACACTGGAGTGGTTTGCCATTTCCTTCTTCAGTTCATTTGACAGATGGGGAAACTGAAGCAAACAAGGTTGAGTGACTTGCCCAGGGTCTCATAGCTAGTAAGTATCTGAGACCAGATTTGAACTCAGAGAGATGAATCTTCCTGACTTTAGGCCTGGCGCTCTATGCTCTACCATACCACCTAGCTGTCTCCTAGTACAGGACTGGCAGGTAAATCCCCTGCCCATTGTTAGATAGCTTTGTTCTCTATAACCAGGGGCATAAGCAGGAGCCATTTTATAACTACGCTTCTAAATGCAGAATCATTGTGAATTCAGGCATAAATCTGCCTTATAGATTTGAGTTGTTACATTGTGGGAATTTCATCCTGAGATCCTTTTTTTTTTTTTTTTGCCCAATACTGTCTAAGAACTCATGATATCAACATTACCAGGGTTTATTTCTCATCTTAATTTTTAACATCAAATTTGTTGTTATAATTTTATAATCATTATTACTTGTTTTATCACTTGAGTGGAATCTGAATTAAGCCCAATAGTGGCTAATTTTGAGGAGAATTTTGTATATTAGTTATAATAAATGCTATGGTATTTGAGTTTTTATTCCCAGGTGTATTTTTTTCTTTTTTGTACTGATTTTGGAATTAAACATTTATGAATAGTAATGCTTGGTGTTTGGTGCCACCAATGAGAATGCCTCCTGCTTTGTGACTGCTTTTATTATTTCAGCTTTTACTAAAATGTTTACTCATGAAAAAAAAAGTGAGTAGGAGGAAAGGAAATATAGGCAAGAAGCAGAAGAGAGTAGATGGCTTTCTCTAGGAGGCTGGCTATGAAAGCAAGAGAGAAGTAAGATGATAGCTGGAGAGTCAAGTGAAGGTGTTTTAAGTTTGGAGGAGACCTGACTATGTTTCTGGACAGCAGAGAAGGAGACCATAGATAGGCAGAAGTTTAAGATGAGAGAAAGAGAGGCATGGATTGCCAGAACAAACTCCTGGAGAAGACTAGAGAGGATGAGATCAAGAGCACAAATAGAGATGTTGGCCTGAGCAAGGAGAGGGGATGCCTCTTCTTTAGCAGCTGGAGCAAAGGAAGAAAGAATGGGAGGTGAGGTTGAGAAGCTTTGAGGCACAGAATAAGGAAAAAGAGGCAGCCCATAACTGATGGCTTCTGTTTTCTTGTTAAAGGGAGAGGTGAGATCCTCTGCTGAGAGACAAGGGATAATGAAGATGAAAGAAGCTCTACAAGATTGGGAACAACCAGTGTAGTTCAGGGTAGGGAACAAGATTTTAACAAGCAGTGCTAGGCACCGTACTAAGAATACCTTTGCAAAATTATCTCATTTGATCCTCACAACAACACTGAGGTAGGTAATATTACTTCACAGTTGAAGAAACTGAGGCAAAAGTTAATTGACTTGTCAAAAGTCACATATGTAGGAAGTGTCCGTGGATGATTTGGACTTAGGTCTGACTCCAGGCCCATTTAAAGAACTTTTCCAGAACATTTAAAGCAACAGCAATGTTAATAATAGATGGGAGCAAAAAGACTGCACAAATGTCTGCTGTCCATTAATCCTGGAACAGGGAAATCAATCATATGATCTACTACAACTTCTGCAATATATGCACTACCCATTGTCAGTGCAACAAAGAGTAAATAAAAGGATTATTGTACAACCATGAGGGCCTTGTTGAGATCAAATAACATAAATTTGTAGTGGATCTAACCAACATAGTTATGACCTTCCTCCAGAAGTATTCAGCAGCACATGAGTAGGTAAAGAGAAAGTGAATTGATAGGGGGAGATTAATGAGGGTTGGGGTTTGACAAGGCATAAATGGTACTAAGACAGGAGCACATGGGATTCAAGAGGAGGGCAGTATATAATTGAACCAGTTAACTATGGGGTTAAGATTACAAAGGGAGGAAAATGAGGCCCAAACAGATGTGATGGACTGAGAGAGAAAGGATTAGAATTCTTGGAAGTCAAAGTAAAAATGAGGAATAGCTATAGGAGTGAGGCAGAGGAAATATTGAAGGATTGAAGTTTGTGGTCAAAAAGTAAGATATTAGAGCTATGAGTCATAGAGAGAAAACAATGGCTACCTTTGTGGTACCTGGGCAAGTCACTTCACATCTCTGGGCCTCAGCTGAATGGGATGGATGGTATGGTAGGAGTAATGTCCTAACCCCTTCCCCTACGAGGCTAGTTCTTCCTTAAAAGGTACTTAGACTTTCTTTGAGACTCGTATGACTCGGGGAACTGAAGGCTGAGACTATTGTTCCTCAGTGCTTGAGTAGGAAGCAGCCACAAAATTCCAGGGGGGTTCTGACGCTTGGCTGGTGGATCACGATGGGTGAGACAGGCAGGGGAGCTTTGCTCAGCTGAATCAGCTCGAGGTGTCTTCAGTGATTGTCCTTGTTGAATAATCTTTTACAGCTTTGGCTGAGTAAATCTCTTTTTGTTAATTATAAATAATCTATGAGTATCTTACATTGTTCTGATATAAAACCTAAACTACCTGGAAATGTTTTGAGCCAGGCTCAGCCAAGAACAGATGACTTTTGCAGTCCTTCCTAAATCTAAATATATGATCCTATATAAAGTTAGATCAGAAGTTAAAGTTAGGGTTCTGTCCTGGATCTTCTCTATACACCTTCTTGGTGATCCCATCAACTTCTGTGTGTTTAATTATCATCTAACTGTCCAGTCTTTGTATTCAGTCAGAGTCTCTCTTGAACTACAGTCCCACATTACCAACTGCCTATAGGAATGTCTTTAATTGGATGTCCTGTAGGAGTCTAAAACCGAATATGTCCAAAAGAGAACATATCTATTTCCCCAAATCCTTTCCTCTTCATAATTTTCCTAATTCTGTGGAGGATACCACCATCCTTCTAGTCACTCCGGTTTACATCCTCAGAATCATCCTCAACTCTTTCCTCTCCTTCACCTCCATATCCCATTAACTACCAATTATTTGTCGGTTTTACCTCCACAATATATCTCGCATCTGACCTATTCTTTCTGCACCCTCAGCCACCATCCTACTTCAGATCTTCATAACTTTTCACCATAAACCATTACAGTAGTTTCCTAATTGGTCCCTCTGCCTCAAGTCTCTCCCTTTCCAATCCATCCTTCACACAGTTGTTAAATTGATGTTGTGATAATGGAGGTCTCATCATGGCTGTAGATAATTTTTTAAAAATTGATTAATAAAACAAGATCCTTGAAGAAAAGAGATCAAGGCTAAGTGGAGAGGTTGTCCTTGACAAGTAGGAAGGCTACGTTATCCTCTCAAACAAGAGCACAGGAACAAAAGGATGGAGAAAAAGAAGTGGGGAATTCAGATGGACAGCCTTGGTTTTCTTCATAGTGCAGAAGGTCAATTCAACTGCTAAGAGTAAAAAAGGATGGACTTGGGGTTTGAAGAGAAAGAAGGTTTTGAACTGCCATGGGGAATATAGAAGGCAGTCCCTCAAAGATGAATGAAAGGATTGTTGTGTAGCAGGGTAGATGCAATGGAGGTTAGAAAACATGGTTGTTCCTATCTACTTGGTTTTGTGACTTCCTGTGGCTGCACTCAGCACCTTGAAAAAAGAAGGCAAATGTTGAGGGTGACCCAGGGTTTTGATTAGTAAAGCAAAAACAATGGAAGATAAGGGTGGAATACAGTGCATTGTTGAAGTAAATGACTATGGAATCAAGCTTGTATACAAAAGTGACCCAAGAACAGGGATAACAGCCTGGGAGAAGAAAAATATGTGGCATTGGTAAAGTATAATAAGAGAGAGGCACTGTGATGTCAGTCAGTCAATGAACATTTAAGTGCTAGCTATATGCCAGGCACTGTGGTAAGCCCTGGAGATACAAAAATAAAAATTGTAAGGAGCTTACAACCTAATTAAGAAAGATTATACACAAAATTAAGCCGAAAAGGGGAAGGGAGAAGGAAGAGAAGGTCCCTGGCTCTCCACTCTCCATTCATATGTTGTGATGCATAGAGTGCTGACTTTGGAGCCTAAAAGACATAGGTTCAAATCCTTTCACTGACATCTATGAGCTATGTGACCCTGAATAAATGGCCTAACCTCTCAGTTCTTGAGATAAACCCCTAGGACTAATCTACTAAACCATAGATGGGTTAGAATCTGCCTTAGTGGAGGGATTTCCTAAATTAATAGATAAATTAATAAATTAATAGATCCTTCACATATTCATGTGATTACAATAAGTACCTCAAAAAAGAACATGTTCCATGATACATGATATTAGCATTTTATGATAGGAATTCATCACCTTACGTACATTTTCTGTTAGAAGTAGTATTTGTGTATAATCAGGAGAAAATACAATATTCTTCACAGAGGCTTGTAAACTGATGTGGTCCTTTATAGTGTAGTTACTTTCCTTGATAGTAATAGAATGCAAAATGCCATCCTAGATGTAAAAAAATAAGAAAATAAGTACATCCTTTTAGAATGAACTTTCTCTACTAACCTAGTCAAACCAAGGGCACAATCCATTTCAAGAGGTGCAACCGTCCTTCCCACCTTGACCAAACTCTATCCATTTTTCAAAGGTCAGCTTAACTCTGACCTCCTCCAGAAAGCCTTCCTCAACTCTCTCAATCTTTATTGATCTTCCTGTTCTCTGAATTCCTGTTAACACCTTTTAGTCTGTACAAGACTTCTAATTGCGTGTAATGCCATTTGCTTTAAAATAATTGAACTTTATTTTCTTCCCTGTCTTACAGAGATCAATCTTATTCATACTCACATTACCTCTGTTGTCCTGTGCTAATATTTCATAAATTCTAGCCTTGTCTCCCCACGTTCTTTGAGGGCAGCCACTATGCCTAATATTTTTTTTGGATCCCCCATAACAGAGCTAAGCATATAGTAGGTGATAAATAAATACTATGAAGAGATTTAGGTGAACTTAATTGACCTTTAATAATAAAGATAATGCTGCTGATTTACCTACAGAAGATTTTAAAGTTGTTTTCCCAGTAGTTAAACTGGAGTTGGACAATTAAACTATATTCCCTTAATCAGACTCTCTTGAGATTAACATTATACTAATTTAAAGTGTTTGGGTTTAGGGCTGTCTCAGAAGACATGAGCCTAAAGCAAATCATTGGATGATAACTCTCCTCTCAGCTTCCACCCTTTATTTTATAAGGAGGTTGAAATGGTATTAAAGGCAGCTTTGAAGGAAGCAATATATTATTAAAACAGCCTGAAAAAGGGAGAAGCAGAGTCGCAACTAATTTTTTTATTAAGGAATGTATGGGTTAAGTCTCAAAAAATTGTTTTTGTTTTTTAAAGCACCAAATGGAAGAGATACCTACTTTTCTTTTGATTTATTCCCTCATATGTGTGTGTGTGTGTGTGTGTGTGTGCATGCACGCATGTGTCAAAAGTTTAACTCTTGCTGGGTTATAAGTATAGTCTGTGGTTAACGAATAGAGAAAAACTTTGGCTCAAGTGGAGACAAAACACATGACCTTACTACTCTATTCTAACCCAGGGAGCTGATCAGTCATAGATTAAGACTATAGCACTAACTCTGGTACTAAATCATATGGTTCTTTTTCAATTTTGCAGCAACTTCTATAGCTGCAAATTGGAATGGATTATCACATCAGTTGGGAATAAATGCAGAAATAGACCAAGCTCAAGAGAGGACTAAGTTTAACTTCTGTTTCTATCATTTACTACCTACCTAGGTGACCTCTAAGTTTCCCTTCCAGCTCTAAATCTATGTCAGAATTACTAAGGTGGTAGTTCCATGTCTAACACTCTGAGAACAATTTATGTTGCTTTGGCAGAAATTCGTAAGAAAATTTCTCTAGGGCCACATTTAAAATGTGATCATTTGGTATTTCTTTTCTGTATTTCCCTTCCCCGTTCTCACCTTAGCCCCCAAGAGACTGGATTTTTAAAAATTAACATTCACTCTTAAAAGACAAATGACAGAGGTAGAAAATAATAGAGACAAAAAAGCTTACATTTCCAGAAACAAACAGTCCTTCTTTATAAAATGCCATAGTGTTGATCCTCTCAATTTTGGAATGGTTTTCTTCATTTTTGTGAAAACAAAACAAAGTAATAGATCATAGAAATGTTAAAGTAGAATCAATCAACTTTACATTAATGCTGTATCATTTTTCATTTTCTCTAGAAACTTTCATCCAGGGTTATAGAGTTTATGAAACAGATGTTAGGTCTTTTAATTTCTAAAGCACTTTCTAAATATGCATAAATATCCCTATTTTCCAGACACTCATATGTTAAAATTTATTCTCAAACCCTTGACTAGCTGTTTCATAGTTGAAAAAAATCATTTAACCTTTCAGAGCTTCAGTTTCCTCATCTATAAAATAGTACTTGCACTAACTAGTAGAGATACTGATTGTTGTGAGAAAAGCCCTTTGCTATGTGAAGTGAGCCATTATTATTCTATTTTGGCCACCAATGAAGATCAACTTTTCTATCTATTTTTTTTAATGTAACAAAAATGACAGAACCATAGCTTCTTTGAGGTGGAGGAAAGAAACTCAAGAGGCTGTTGAGGCAGGACTAAATGTAAGCCATTCAACAAGTACAGCTTTCAGTCATTAACTGTCAGTCATTCAGTTAGCAGGTCAACAATCACTATAAAGATTCAGAAGTCATGGACTAAGTGGACTTTACAATATCCCAAGCACTTAGAGACCGAAGAGCTGGAATGGGCATATGAAGCCACTGAAGAACACATTTTCAGAGCTACAGAAAAACAAATTAACAAATTCCAATTCTACAACATTGACCGAGAGTCAAAATGGTTGAGAGGATTGGGGCAAGTCGGTAGGCAATCAATGAAAAGATGTCTTTTGGGGACAAGCAACAGACCCTCCCAAACATTCTGGGATTTTGGTGGCTTTGGAGGAAATTATAGTACCTTGGGCCAGTCACAAAGGCGTTTTTCTACTTTTCCGTCAGGAAACTCATAATGCTTGCTAAGGAGGGCTTCAGGATCCTAACCCACATCCCAGCCTACATCTGTACAAAATGGCTTGTTTGTGACGACCTGTGATATCAATGGTATAGAGAGATTCCAGGGAGGAAACTCCTTCTACCAATGCAAATCTTCTTGAGAGCTGCCTAGGGCACTGAAAGGTAGTGACTTTCTGAGTGTAACACAGCCAGTATATGTCAGAGAATAGACTTGGACCCGGGTAGTTCTGACTCTGTGGTTGGCTCTGTCCACTCCTTCATGCTGCCTATCAGGAAAGGATGCTAATGACAGTAATGTTGACAATTATTACCAACAATTATCTAGTCCTTTAAGCTTTGCAAAGCTCTTTACATGCATTATTTGATCATCACAACAATTCTGTGAGGTAAGTATTCTAAATATTATCGTTATTCTCATTTTACAGATGAGGACATTTAGAGAAGTTCAATTATTTCCCATGACCACATGGCCATTGTAAGAGGTGGTATAATGCAGTGTCAAGCTCAAATAGAAAGGGGGCCGCTAACCATACTTAAAGATGCCTATAGGTTGCATGCTGACTTAGAAAACCAGGTGTTAGCATTATCTGTGTTTTATTGTGTTTTCATTTATTTTTAGATATTTCCCAATTACATTTTAATTTGGTTCAAGTTGCACTGGGGAGTGTTATGGGCTTCATGATTGATGCTTCTGGTGCAATGCATTGGGTTAGATGGTTGATGAAGTACCTTCCAACTCTCAAATTCTGTGATTCTATGACTATGAAATGCTTTAGTTAAGATAGATGCTCTGACCATGAAGAATATCTTCACTCCAATAAAGAGCACCTCAGTTGGTTTAGTTATCTTCAAAGTGATATAAAATTATGACCATGGATTGTAGTCTTAAATTTACATAGTATAAACTAAATACACAAGTCCTAAAAGGAAACTAATCAGGAGAAATTAGGTGAAATAAATCATGGAAGACCTTCTTTCCCAAAAGATCGGAGCCGTGACTTACGTTTTTCAAGCAAGTTTTGCAATGTTCTTTAGTAGGAGTCCAGTATTTAACTGTCCTTATTGGTAGCATTTCCATAGGTTATCAAGAAGCCACAGAGCTAAGGGGAATAAAACTTTCTGAAAAATCTGTTTTTGGAGCAGGACCTTGCCTTTAGAGAAGAAGTTCTTGAGCTACCCAAAGATGGTTCCACATTGCAGAAAAGATACTTCTCTTAAAGGTGGCTCACCAAACACTTCACATTAAAAATCATTCTAAGTGTAGACTTGTCCTATACTATTAATTTGCTTTATTTTTTAAAATGCATAGCTCCCTTTCTTAAGTTCTCTTCAGAAGCCATCCTGGATGGAGATACCAAAACCTTTTTATATACTTTATGGAAAAAATAAAAAATTTCAATTATAATACATAGCATAGTACTTTATACTTAAAAAAAGAACTGTTTCTCCATTGCTAATCAATACCCACTTATAGTCTTAAAGTTGCCTGAAGCACTAAGAGGGGAAATCATGTTCCCAAGGCCAGATGTAGGTCAGGTTGCAGTATACCAACTATGGAAAAGGGAATAAATCCATTGGAAAGCTAGCTGCTTCAGCCAGTAGGCTCAGCGTCAGACTGACCAGTTTCCAGCAGAGAAAGTAGTTTAGTTCACTGAAAAAAAAAGTTATACAATACTTTCTAGTGATTGATTAGAGATTATCTCTGACCTCTATAGATTCCTTGGTAAAGTAATAGTGATCAGTCCCCTCATTTATACGCAGACCTGAACATCTGGAAGGTGGGTTGTAGGTTGACCTGGTAAAATTCAAATTGTCTCAGGTAATACCACTGAGACTATAGTGTGAAGAGTAGGTACTGGGAAGAACTGGGGTGAAATCTAGAGTCCTCATAAAATGTAGTATCAAGGAATAGAGAATTGAAGTCAGTTATTGCAAAATCAACTACAGATAATAAATCCAGTCAGTTGGTCTTATGGTTGATGATTTAACATCTTAGGTAGTACTCTGGGATACATTTTGTGTATTTACTCAGCCCAAATCTCTTGGCTGTGCATTTTCCCTAGGTGTCCCCCATGTCTGGAATTCTCTTCCTCTTTATCTTTGCCTCTTGGCACCACTGCCTTCCTTCAAGTTTCTACTAAAATCCTACCTGTTACAAGAAGCATTTTCCAACCTTCCCTAATGCCGGTGCTTTTTCTCTATTCGTTGATTATCTCCAATTTATCCTCTCTGTTTCTTGTTTATACATACTTGTTTTCATGTTATTTCTCCATTAGACTGTGAGCTTCTTGAGAGCAGGGACTGTCATCTGCCTTTGTTTCTCTAGCATTTAACTCAGTGCCGGCACATAGTAGGGGAATCATACATGCATATTGATTAATTGAAACTGTAAGTGACATATATTAAAGGTGTGAACATTTACGTGAAAGTAAAATGAATTGTAGACCACTGCCAAAGATGACCTAAGTGATCTTCAGCAGCAGGCCAGTGACAGATCTAGAGCTGGAAGAGCATTTCAGAGAACATCCAGTCAGTACAGCGCCTCATTTTTAAAGTGAGGAAACTGAGGCCCACAAAGGTTAAGTGATTTGCCCAAGGTCACATAGGTCACGTGTATCAGAGGCGGGACTGGACCTTACATCTGCAGACTCCAGTCAGTTTTTTGTCTTGTACCAAGCTACTTATCTAAATGGTTGCAGTTGTCTAAATTCTGTCAGTGTGTCAGTGACTACAAAGATGGTATTCTGGCCTTGTGGTGGTGCTGAGTCAGTGACAAAGTATAAAGTTATTGTCTCCCAAGGGAACAAGGCATTGGAAGAAGCATCAGCATCCACACGAGTTTTCCTGCAAGGCTATTGGCAGAGGTTCACACTTAAATTATTCTTGTATTGTGACTAATGTCCTTGACCTAGGGCCACTAAGTCCCAAGTGACTTTTTGAAGGACTTTAAATAATCCATAGCTGGACTGTCATGATATATATGGGTCACCTTCCAATAACATTATTCTGAGGGAACGAGTATTTATTTAGGCACCTACTGGAAACTTATTCCGTCTTCAGAGGAAAGGATCATATTCATTTGAAAGATGGTTAGCTTCTTTGGAATGTGTTTCAAACTTGCTGTTGACTGTTCAAGTCTAGGAAGTACAGGTGTTGTTGGATGGTTAGAAAGTTTATTGAGGACAGGAGTCATCATATTGGCTGAAGGAAAATCTAGTATTCTGGCTTTTTGGATCATCAACCTATTGCTTCTCATTTCATGGAACACTGGAAATTAGGAAGTCAAAATGACTGAATAGAGTCCAAGTTGAGCTGCGTGAGGTTCTTGACAGCAATCTACCCAGGCCTTTTAATCTAGAGTAATTATTCTCTATGTCTTTCCATCAATCTTCCACTGAGAATTTACCCAAATCACTGATAACCTTCCTCTGGTTCCTTTTATATTTCATGGATTCCAAAACAACACTTGAACTATTTATCTGTTATACTTTTCTCTTGCTACATAACCAGTCCATTTCACCTTCTTAAAGATGTCTTTTAAGGCATTTATTATTCACAGTTCATGGCTAGTCAGTCATGGCTAGACAGTCAATAAGCATTTACTAAGCATCTGATATGTGCCAGGAATTGTGCTAAGGGCTAAGGATACAAAGAAAGGCACAAGAAAGTCCCTTTTCTCAAGGAGCTCACAGTCTAATGGGGGAGATACCATAAATAGCTATGTATAAAATAGTAAGATGCCTTGTCATGCTTATATCTACATGTATCTTACCATTGCCCTTTGGGTCATGAATCTTTTTTCACTTTTAGGCAATTGGGGTTAAGTGACTTGCCCAGGGTCACACAGCTAGTAAGTGTCAAGTGTTTGGTCCGAGGCCGGATTTGAACTCAGGTCTTTCTGACGTCAGGGCCGGTGATCTATCCACTGCGCCACCTAGCTGCTCCGTGAATCTCTTACTTGCTAAATCTCATAGACTTTTTTCAGTCCTTAAGCTCTGTGATCTCAATGAAGCTTTGATTATGTCAACCACTTTCCTTCTCCCAGTACTGTCTCCTCACTTGACTTTCATGACATTGTTCACTCCTGTTTTCTATCTGCATGCCTGTTATTTCTCAGATTCCTTTGCTGACTTGCTTTCTATGTATTCTCCCTCTTGGTGATCTCATCAGTGAGCATGGGCTCAGTTATTATTTTTATCCAGTTTACTCCCAAATCTTTATATTTAGCCATAGCATTTTTCCTGAACTCCATCTTAGCATCACCAACTGACTTTTGGACATCTTCTGTCTGGATATTCCATACGCATCTTGAATTCAACATGTCTAAAACAATTTATTATCTTCTCCCACAAATCATACATCCTCCAAACTTCTTTGTTTCTATCGAGATCAACACTATCCTTCCATTTTCCCAGTTTCACAACCTTAGAGGCACTCTTGACTCTTTCTTCTCCTCCACCATGATATCAAGTCAGTCACCAAATCTTTTCATGTCTACCTGCACAATCTTGCCATTCCTCCTGCCCCTATCCAAGTTCAAACCCTTATAATCTTACCTGAACTATTGCAATGGCTTCCTAGTTAATGTTTCTGGTTCCAGTCTTTCCTCTCTCCAATCCATTTGACCATATTACTTCCTTACTAAAAAATCTTCCATGGTGCCTATTGTCTATAGGACAAAATATAAGCTCCCAGTGTCCATAATCTGGATTTCTGTTCTCTCCATTCCCACCCCTAGTTGTTGTGCTCTCTCCTTCCTCAAGTTATCTTGTTTGTACTTATTTATGTGGATGTTCACCCCACAGTGGAAAGCAAGGTCCATGAAAGGCCTTCCATTACTGTCTTTGTCTCTCCTATGCCTTGCTTTTGGTGTATGCTAAATAAATATCTATTGATGAACAGGAGTTTCTATCTGCTTCTCCTCATCATGATTCTTGTCTTTGTCCTCCCATAAATCCTCCGTTCAGTATGCTGAAGGCCTTCCTTTAGACATCCGTCTATGTAGCACTTCAGCTCTCCATCTCTTACCTCTAGCTCCCAATGTGACCAGTTCAACTTCTTTTTACACTACTTATTGCACACAAGTCATCATTGTTAATTTCCTGCAGCATATTTATATCCACTATGGTTTTCTCCATTATTTTTGGGTCACTTATAATATTCTTCAGAGCATGGTATTCCAGGAATCATCATAGACACATAGCATCAAAAAAGAATATTTGTGTAACACGAAGGACCACTCATTAATTGAGTCCCTTCATACACTTGATGAAATTATAGATGGTTGGACCTCAAGTGGCCTATTTGCATATAAAGAGGTCAGGAAAATCTGATGAAGACTGAAAAAGACAGTATATTTACCATTTGGTGTGGATTTCTTTCATGCCTTTTCTCCATCTACTCCTTTGTGGAATAAACAGGAGAGAAACTAAGAGTATGTATTGTAAAGGGGTGAGGGATAAAAACTCTGTGATTCCTGGTTAAAAAAAGTGGAGGAAAAAAATCAACTGTGGAGGAAGAACTCAGCTCTTGAGTTCTCTCTTTACGTTTTCCCTTGCTGCTCTTAGAGAGTAAAGTAGGGGAGCAGGGCACATTCATGGAGGTGGGGAGGGGGACTTCTCTGTCCTCCCCCCCTTCCCCATCAGCAGTGGGCAATTTTCATCAAAAGCATCTGGCCGTAGGAGATAAGTGCCTGCACAGTGTCTGAGAGAGGAATTTAAAGACAAGATTTAACAAGAGATAGTGTGTTGTTGTTGATGTTGTTATTATTGTTTTAGTGGAAAAATATGACACAAGTGTACATGGAACAAGAAACTGATCTTTAAAGTCTAAAAGTCAACAAGCATTTATTAAACACCGTGTGCTAAGCTTTGGGTATGTTAAGAACTGGTTTTCAAATGTGTATGTCTGAAAAAGTTCAGCAAAGCCATTTCTTACCTGGTGACGGTGACAGAATAGTGACAAGCAGATTTTCTCCGTTAATGAATAGAATATGACCCTCTTCGCAGCAAACATAGAGGTTATTTGTTGAGTTCCAACAGTGTGCAGTAGGATGAAGCAAGGGACGAAAATGATCTTTAGGCTTCAATAAAACATTAAAAATAATTTTTGTAAAGACTGCTAAATGTATTATAGGCTTACAAGCATAACTAACTGATCCTAGAATTTTTGCACCAAGGAAAGGAGGAAGAAGTTAAGAAATGGAGGAGAGAACTCAGCCTTGGTAGCAACTGACTGAGAAAATAAGCATGCACCAGATTGCTACTTCTGGAGAGGATAGGGGCAACATATACCAGGGGCCAGAGGCAAAGCCCCTGGGGGTAGAAAATCCATCCTGTAGTAAGAATACTATCACCAAGGCTGAGGCCAGGCAAAAGAGAGTGTACTTCCTACCTCCAAAGGCTGCAACTCTTGCCCTTGGTATGTGCTGCTTGGGGTAAGGAAGGAAACATGTCTAGGATAGGGCTTTCCATAACCCTGAAAATTTCAGAATTCTGAAACTCTGATTACCCCACCCTAGTTATGGTTCTCTTTTCAATACACTTCAAAAATTCCCCACACTTTTTTCCCAATGGACCTACCCTTTTGCCAATGTCACCAGTACCTCATTTAACCATCTCTACCTCTCCTGCCTTAAATTTCCTCCTGCTAAAAAAATACAGGTATCTACTTAACAGGTATACCCAGAACCCCTTGTCTGCTGACTCTTCAGTTCAAAGATACTTTTAAATCTAAGAAAATTCTTAGCCTGAGGTCACCACTGTCAAATATCCAGTTCTACCTTGTCTCTCTGGTTGCATGTTGCATATCCACATGCCCTACGTGTTGTGCAGAAAGAATCCTTCTAGATTCCCTACCGAAGTTATGTGAATGCTTAATTCAATCAGAGAATTATTCAGTTGATACTAGTGGCCTTTGGCTTCTGTAAATTCATAAATGACTATATCCTGCATTATTTTTATTTCATGAAAAATTGTCAAAGGGACATGTATACTGCCTGTGACTATGCCTTTGGGGGTTGAGGGGAAACTCAGGTATCTGAACTGTTATCATTATGGCATGGAGACAGTGATAATACCCATACATTGCCTGTAGTACTGCAGCATTCAGGCATAGGAGAGAGCCATTCTTCCCTTCTCTGTTGTGGAAAGATTATAGGTAATATAATATAATGGAAAGCACATTATTATGCTCTGAATTAGGATATATGAGTTCCAGTTCTGCCTCTGCTACTAGCTCGATCTTGAATAAATTATTTCCCTTTTCTAAGTCTCAGCCTCTGAATCTATAAAATTAGGTTGAAAACTGCAAGGTCCTCTCTGACTCTAACATTCTGAAAAATTAATTGTGTAATTCTATTTTAGATGCAAAAGTGAAGAATTTACTTGAGCTTTCATGTGATGCTCCATCATTATTAAGAATTTCACTAAGGGGGTTATATGACTAGCAAGATGAATTGTGCACCAAATGTAGAATAATTACAGCTATAACCACAGAACAAAAAAAGGTGACAAGTTAAAAAGCCTTATGAACTATTATCATAGAATACTAATCCTTAAAGCATTCACTCAGCACCCCTACCCCACTAGCTTTAACATTCCTGGAAATACAAACTAGCCCACAGGCTTGGGCCTGGGACCCACACTGGGATCCCCTCTTGCTGTAGAAACTGAAAGCCAAACCCTACTCCTTCCTTGATTCCCAGCCCAGAAGACACACAGTACTTGGCAGTATGTAATACTTTTAAATCCACTCATTTAAGGAAGACACTGAGTCTGCCCAATCACGTGAAGGAGAAGGTAGAGGAAAGAGTTCTGCCTTCTGTTTGGGCCACCCTTAGGTTAGAAACATCCCTCCACACCCACCAAGGCTATAGAGATAGCAGATATTGATTCAGCTCAGCCTTAGAAGGGAAGGATGAGAGCCAAGGGAGAAACAGGGGCAGAGGTCCAAGGTGAGTGACTACACCAGACCAGAAGAAAAGGGGACTGAAATGCAACTAGGGAAAACCCTATCCTCCAAGAGGAGTCTTAGGGCAAGGATCGAAGCCAGTGAAACATAAATTCCCCATTGTGGGAGAAGGTTGGTGCAGCTTTGAATCCAGGTGTGGGGGTATACACAACATAAAAGGAGGAAGTTGTCAGAAAGTGAGGTATGGGTAATATATAGAAAAAGAACAGAAACAAAAGACTTCAGGAATAAAATTCAACTAAAAATCAAGAACATAAGCATCTAAATCAACAGAGAGTTTACTAAAACTGGGATGAAAAGAGAATATGAAAAACCAAGTATAGAACTCGCTTAACAAATAATATAAGACAAAGGAAAATGAACCAACAACTGATAAGACACAGAATCCTATGAAATCCTAAAAGAACATGGAGCAAAAACAAAGTCCAGACTGATTCAAAAGAGAAATGAAATCTACACAATGAGAAATTAGGAATAAAAAAATCTGAATTTTTATCTCTCAAAGAAGAAATAATCAGCAGACAAGAAAGTAAGAAAGAGAATATCAAATTTAGAATCCTCCATTAAGTGGAGGAAAATCTGGCAGAAGAGAAGCAAAAAGCAGTAACATTAAAATAATCTCTGTACAAGGCAAAGACATCGACCTTAAAGATAGGATGAACAGATAAAATGTAAAGATCATAGGTCTCCAAGAACATGACAGAATGAAAAACCTGGACATCTTACTGCAATACATAGTACAAAAAAAAAAAATTGGCCAGGACTTCCAAATACAGTAAACAAAATACTCATCAAAAGAATCCATAGATCTCCTCTAGGAACAAACCCTATGCTTCAAACTTCAAAATGCACAATGGTTAAATTTAATAATTCCAACAAAAAAACAATAAAATCTGCAAGTGGTCAAGAGAAAGAACTTCAAATATAAAAGAAAGAAAACTCAAGTAATACAATATTTTCATACAACTATTAGAAACCAAAGAAGAGAATAGAAAAGTGCATACTCTGAAAAGCAGAGAAGCTCAAGATGCAACTCCAAATGATGTACCTGAAAATCTAATCCTAATAATCAATGAAAAAGATAGACATTTAGTAAAAGTGAGGCATTTGAAGAATCTCTGTCAAAAAAGAGAAAAATGAACAGAATTTTTGACTTGTAAACACCCCCAAACTATAGAAACATACTGGCCAAGTCAGAAAGCACTTTAGTGCTTATGATGTGCCAGGCCATGTACTGAGAATACTAAGAAAAGCCATAATAATTCCTGCTTTCAAGAAGCTCACAGTCAAATGGGAAATGCAAACAACTATGTAAATATATGATCTATTGGAGGTAATTTAGAAGGAAGACTCTAGCACTAAGGAGGACATGTAAGGCTTCTTGCAGGAGGTGGGACTTTAGCTGGCACTGGGAGGAAGCCAGGGAAGCCAAGAAGTAAAAGGAAAGAAGGAGAGCATTCTAAGCATGAGGGTCATTCAATGAAAAAGTACCAAGTTGTTATATAGAGTATCATGTGCAAGAATAGCAAGTAGGCCCCATGTCACCGGACTGCCAACTATGTAAGAACAAAGTATAAGCCCAGAAAGACAGATGTGTGTGAAGCTAAACAAAGCACTTTTATATTTGATAGAGTAGATAATAAGGAGCCACTGGAATTAATAAATTCCAGGAGTAGGAGGTAGGGAAGTGGGTGACATAGCCAAACCAGATCTTTAGGAAGATAATTTTGGCAACTAAGTGGAAAATGAATTGGAATACAGAGTTTGATTCAGGGAGATCAATCAGAAGCCTATTGAGATATTTCAAGTATGACGTGATGAAGACTTACATCAGAGGGATGTCAGTGTCATAGGAGGGGGGAGAGAGAGGAAAGGTGAAGGAAGGAAGGAAAGAAGGAAATAAGCTTTTTCTATGAATCTACTATGTGCTAGGCACTGTGCTAAGTTTTTAACAAATATTATCTCATTTTGAATTTATACAAGAGATATTGCAAAAGTAAAATCATCAAGACTTGGCAATGGGTTAGATATCCAAAGTTGTGGGTGAGGTAGAGTCTAAGATAACATCTTTATTGTAAGCTTGAGTGACTGGGAGGATGGTAGTGAATTTGATAGTAATAAGGATGTTAGGAAGAAGGAAGAATTTGGGGGAAAGATAATAAGTTTTGGACAAATTGAGTTTCAGATATCTATGGAATATCCAGTTCTATATGTCCAATCTGCAGTTGGTGATGTAAGACAGGTCAGGGAGAGGTTAGGGCTGGGTTAATTATGTGAGAGAATCATCTCCATAAAGATAATAACTGAGCTAATGAGATCACAAAGCAAGACTATATGGAGGAAGAAGAGGAAAGGGCCCAGGACAAAGAAGGAGCAGTCATCAGGTAGGAGCAGAACCTGAATAGAGCAGTGTCACAAATACCAGGATATAAGAGAATATCAAGAAGAAAGGAGTAGTTGACCATGTCAAAGACTGTAGAAGACAAGAAGGCTGAGGATTTAGAAAAGGCTATTAGATTTGGCAATTAAGAGTTCCATTGGAGAGTGTAGCTTCAGTTGAATGATGAGATCACAAGTCATATTTAAGAGAATGGGAGGAGAGAAAGTGGATGCACCAATTATAGACAACTTTCTCAAGAAGTTTAGCCATGAAAGGGAGGCAAATAATAGAATGATTGTGGGCAGTCTCCCAGAGAAGACAGAATGGAATGGGGTCACGAATACATGTAGAATGGTTTGCCTTGGTAAGGAGTAGGGCAACATCTTCATGGAAAATAGGGATGAAGGGGTATATAGTGGAAAGAGACATCTGAGAGATGTGAGATGGGAAGAGGTGAAGAGGGAGCTCTTGACAAATGACCTCAACTTTTTCAGTGAAATATAAGGCAAGGTTCTCAGCTTAAAAATAGGTAGGGGGACTATTGGAAGTTAGCAGAGGGAAAAAATGTTTGAAAAAGCTGCTGTGATGAGTGGGAAAGTGAATCAATTAGGGAGGTGTAAAAGGATTGCTTTGATGCAGTGAGGGTACTGTAGAGATTATGTAACACAAATATGTAGTGGATTAAGTCAGCATAGTTTGATGTTTTCTTCAGCTTTATTGAGCAGTATATA